GCGGAATTATTTCATAGCGATTAAGCTTGTAGTAATTCTAAACGTTTAACCTCTGCGACAGGATCCTCGAGCGGAACCGGACAGTACCGTTTCGTTCGGTTAATTAACAACTCATTAGGGGCCTCGATTTGGGTCAGAATAGTAATGAACGACGGATGGTCCTACGTAAGTCTGCGATATGAATATTCGGTTATCGGTATCAAGGATGACGAAGCGGAAAAAGGTTGCTACGACAGGAAGCTCGGAAATATTAAAATCGATCGGGAGTAAGATTTATTATTAGAATGGTAAAATCGGTGCCATAGCGAAATTTTCATTAAAATTCCAAATGTCCTCTGAAACATTCAAGAAAAGTTCATTGTTCTCGAATCACTTAACTGCATACCTATGCACTCTCTCATCAAAAAAAAAAAGGAAACAAACGAGTGCAAGGATGCATCAGGTTCGAGGGAAAAATGTTAAAGAGGCAGAACGGAAAGAAATACACTAATCCATACAAACTCTCCCGAAAACTCTGTTCACATACCTAATCTTGTGCAAAATGCTAACTCGTTCTTGAACACGAATAATGCATAAAAGATGCCTGGATGGCATTTGTATGAAGCCGTCCGTTCAAGAAGATGATGAAAACTGAATATCAAACTCTCCTTTAACCAACCCAATGGAGGAAGAAACGATTTCTTGAAATCTGGAAGGATCGGTGGAATTTTTGTTCGATCGAAGACGAATTCGATCGACATCTAATTTGTCGAATCGGTGAAATAAATCGGGTATGCAGCTGATCGTTCGCTTATTTGTCGCGAAACGAGCAGTGCCAGACGATCGCTCGGTTCTCAGCAGGTAAGGTGGCTCCTGTTTTCGTGGACAGCCCCGCGCATTGAATCAAGATGAAGATCATGTCGAGTTACACGTGCTGCGCAGTGGCATACTGAATCGGACACGTCCGTCTGCTCACGTGCGGCAACTGTCGAAACGTGAGACAATCGTATCGTTTCTGCGATACGTTCGATCCCCTTCGTCATCGACATCGCGAGACACATGTTCGACATTATCATTTTCAACCCTGATGTCTATCTTCCGGTCTACGCGAACGTTGATTAAAAAAATTTATTTCCACGTCTACTATCTTTTGAAAGATTCCTTTCTTAATTTTAATTGTGTTTCAAAATTCGTTAAATCTTGGGGGTGATTTTTGTTTTATTAAATAATGTAAATTTAAATTTCAATGTCTGTTCGCAGGAAATGGGCACACCCAAGCTGGCATCGAGTTTCCGGGAAGAAATTAGAGGATTACTAGCAAAGGCACGTATGGTACTTAAATTTTTTTGATTTTCTAATCCACTGCCCGGATGATCTACGATTCAATAGAAATCACTGCGGTTGGTTAGTGTGTATGTTTAATTCAAGATCGTTTCTCAGAATGATTCTGACCGTGCAAATAATTTTACATCTCACGGCCGCCGAACGGATGCAGTATTTCTGTAAAAATTTTCATCTCGCGTAAAAAACGCCACGCGACGGAAATATTTTCCACACGAACACGTTGTTCGTCACCGATTTGACGTGTACACATTGGTAATTTCCGGTATACGTATTCGTTCTTTTTCTTTTTTTTTTTCATCATTTTCTTTTGTCGAATCATTTTCCCGTTTAAGGACGATGACTCCCGATAGATCCTGAAACACGTGTTGTAGCAATTCCTATTTGAACACGAATCACGAAGAGCAAACAGGTAAGACCAGGTGGATGGGTTGAAAGACCGCGTTACATCTCGCCCATGGATTGCGTTCATCTTGCAAATTTCCAAGATAAAACGGAGGAGACAGGTGTTTTGTATCGTATACTAGCTGTAACGCGTATCCTGCTAGACGCGTATCCTGTTCAATGGCGTGGATGAGCTTGCTCTGTTGAATTAACAATAAGCAGTGCTCGCTATTCCTTTGCTTCTAAGAATAGGAAGGATACCGGTAAACAACTTTGCTATTAAAATCATTTTTCATTGCTTATAAATAGAATTTTCAATTTTGAGATATCTTGAATCGAAGACAAATTAAATTCTCGCTAATTAAAAATATCGATTATTACCGACATATACCCGCTTTTAAGAATAGGAAGGATACCGGTAAACAACTTTGCTATTAAAATCATTTTTCATTGCTTATAAATAGAATTTTCAATTTTGAGATATCTTGAATCGAAGACAAATTAAATTCTCGCTAATTAAAAATATCGATTATTACTGATATATACCCGCTTCTAAGAATAGGAAGGATACCGATAAACAACTTTGCTATTAAAATCATTTTTATTGCTTATAAATAAAATTTTCAATTTTAAGATATCTTGAATCAAAGACAAATTAAATTCTCGCTAATTAAAAATATCGATTATTACCGATATATACCCTCTTCTAAGAATAGGAAGGATACCGGTAAACAACTTTGCTATTAAAGTCATTTTTATTGCTTATAAATAGAATTTTCAATTTTAAGATATCTTGAATCAAAGACAAATTAAATTCTCGCTAATTAAAAATATCGATTATTACCGATATATACCCTCTTCTAAGAATAGGAAGGATACCGGTAAACAACTTTGCTATTAAAGTCATTTTTATTGCTTATAAATAGAATTTTCAATTTTAAGATATCTTGAATCAAAGACAAATTAAATTCTCGCTAATTAAAAATATCGATTATTACCGATATATACCCTCTTCTAAGAATAGGAAGGATACCGGTAAACAACTTTGCTATTAAAGTCATTTTTATTGCTTATAAATAGAATTTTCAATTTTAAGATATCTTGAATCAAAGACAAATTAAATTCTCGCTAATTAAACATATCGATTATTACCGATATACCCCTATCGCAATTGGGTACAATGGTTCCTTGAGGACTGAATGCCCAGCGTATTTCAACAAGAATAATAATAATAATAATAATAATAATAATATCCCCATCGCAATCTACGTTATCTTCAATTGATTTCAACCCATTTCCTTGGTGTCTTTTATTATTATATAAGCATCTAAGAATCACTTTCACAAGAATAGATAAAACCACCCTCATCTCCTTAATGCCTTTTCTATTCCAACCATCTGATCAGCAGTCAGAGAACCGATTTAGCGAAACAAGCTGATTGGAATTTACAGTGTTGGCTTTCCATGGAAGACATAAAATAGTCGCAGGTGTATAGTCGGCCGACATAAACGGCCAGGAGGCTACGAATTCTGCATCCCGATTGCGAAACGAGATCTGCCCGTAGACGCAGCTGCTCGTCTTGCGTCAGCCTATTGAAAATCGATCGGAATCGAGCTGGGTATCCTTATTCGTCGCTACGTGATCACATTTCCGGATCGTGATTCGGGAGATCGTTTAGAAAGGAAGTCCCTGAAGATTTTGATTTACGTCTAAGCCGTTGGCCATGGTTGCTAATTCGTTGGAACAACCAGAACGACCACGTCGAACAAGAGATTTTATTCATTCAAGGGAGGAATCTCGTATTCCGCGTTTCATGCACAGCTAGCACTATATATTTTATGGTGGATCCGTGGACGGACTGGTAAGCGAACGCTGATGCAACTAAGTGTTCATCGTGCTTTTGATTTGACATTGTTACAGTGTTATCAATATCCTCGGGGACGTTGATTTACGATCGCAAGTTCACATGATCGTCTGACCGGCGCCTACGGGACTCGCGAACAACCCAGTCGTTCTAGAAATTTCATTTTACAAATGTAATTTTGTACCATCTAAAATCTTTAGGAAGAGAAATTTTAATTTTAATTTAGGAAGAATAATTTTAATTTTAATGTAGGAAGAATAATTTTTATTTTAATTCAGGAAGAATAATTTTAATTTTCATTCAGGAAGAGTAATTTTAATTTTAATTTAGGAAGAATAATTTTAATTTTAATGTAGGAAGAATAATTTTTATTTTAATTCAGGAAGAATAATTTTATTTTTAATGTAGGAAGAATAATTTTAATTTTCATTCAGGAAGAGTAATTTTAATTTTAATTTAGGAAGAATAATTTTAATCTTAGTGTAGGAAGAATAATTTTTATTTTAATTCAGGAAGAGTAATTTTAATTTAGGAAGAGTAATTTGAATTTTAGTTTAGGAAGAATAATTTTAATTTTAATTTAGGAAGAATAATTTTAATTTTAGTGTAGGAAGAATAATTTTAATTTTAGTGCAAGAAAAATAATTTTAATTTTAATTCAGGAAGAATAATTTTAATTTTAATTTAAAAAAGAGTAAAGGATTATTATCCTTTAAATGAGCCAACTTGAAATCCAACATCGATGCGTTTTAAACCCCTGAAGAATCCGATTGCAGGAACAGGGCGGAAGGGTTAAAGGTCGAGAGGAGGAATCGTGGGAGCGAGTGAAATATTCGACGGTTTCGTTCGAAAACGCGAAGAGAAAAAAAGAAAGGAAAAGGGGGCTACACGGTACGGAGAAGGGAGTCCCACGAGGATTTTGGACGTGCGTGTCACGTGCCAGCGGCCGAGTCACGTGACTCGCGGCGCGGTAGATCTGCGCGGTGCATCATCGCATGAAGATCGCGATGGCGGCTGCCTTTTGAGCACGCTCTCCCATATTTCAGCGCAACCGATTTTTTCAGCTCGCTCGCGGACACGGAATGCCTGACAATTCGCCGCCGCCAGCGCATCGTGGAATCGTGACGAACGCAGTAAGGGTGCATTCGTAACGAGCCTCGGATTATTCGAAATTTCAAACGAGAACGCTCGCGCCATCTTTTGCCACGACTCGGAGCACCTTTCGCTTTGTACCTCGATCTACATTCCGGAATTAATTTGCAATTAACTGGATCTAGGTTGAATCTTAAGTTAAAGAATTTTCCAGTTATTCAGCTCAGTTAGAATATTTTATAATAATTTTTAGGAGACACCTAACGTGTTGATTCTTAACTATTAACATTATAATTTTTTTTTTTATTTCGGTATAGGTGAAAATGAAATATCAAGAACATTGCTGTGACACAGAAAATTTTTATTATCCTTTTTGTTACATGAGCCATGGTCCGAAATTGAGTCGAAAGGTATGGTCGGAATGGGTGTGTGAGGATCGTGCGGTTGTCCTCGGGGTGGAATTTTCATCGTTTCCGAGATTTCAACAGGTATGCTGCGACGTCCATGTCGAAATACCTGAAAGCAATAACCCTCCATAAATAATCGCCTACTCGTTGCCTATTCTATTTCAAATAATAAATCATGTGCTTACCTTTTTTCTAAATTTGAAATTTCCCGTTTTGTTTGACTTTTTTCAGATGTTACTTGACTGCCATCATTGGCAGTGAATCTCGCCGCGACTGCAGTGGATTTTTCAGGGGGACCGGTGGTGAGCGAAGGTATGTTAAACAACGTTTTACCCTGACGATTTTCCTTGGACTTTCTCCTAACGTTTAAATCCGATGACACTACGATTTCATCGAATGTTTGTCCAAAAACAGCTGCAAAAATATTATACAATTATTTAGTCCTTAATTCAATAACTGTGAAAGGATAAAGCAGCACAGGCATTTTCTTTCTCGGTTTCTGCTCGAACGTATTCGTTTACATAATTCCTTGAAAGAACAGGTGAAACTTTATCGTTCTGTAAAACAATAAGGACAATGAAACGGTGTAAAATGAATCATCCAGCGGGATTATGGTTGCACGCGAGACCACAATGAACAGGCGTTAATTTACACCGCCTCGGAGCAAGGAAAGAAGACACTCCGTTTGTCACCGACGACTTCCCGATCGATCCTCATTAATTATTCATTAAGCATAAACATTTTCGTCCGACACGAGTTTTACTTACGTTTCTGATCTGACGTTTGTTGACCGTTGACGATCACGCAGGCCAGTGCGATCACCGACAGAGCTAGGAAATTGGTCATTTTCCGTCTTGATTTGCTTTTGAAGAGGAGGGCCGAAATTTTTGTAACCTGCAAACGATAAAAGAATTAATAATAATATTACATAAAATTAAGTATTGGAAAATATATCTATCCTAAGCTTGCAATACCAGACTATGGACACGTTTCGATGACATTTTTGCATCAACGATGCTTTGACATTTACTCAATTTCCCGAAGAATCCTCCACAATAAGAGAGAAAAACAGAATCTCTTCTCACAATCAACAATATTAAACGTCACTGGACAAAGCAGTACCTCTTTAACACCTTCACTACCATGGATCACCAACGATCTAGATCTCGGAATAAAAAGTGAAAGCTTGAATTTGAAATACTTATTCCCTTACTAAATAGATCTTCAAGGTGTCCGACTCGATTTTCACCGCGGAAGTGAACGTATTAAGAAGAGGAATTCGATGAAAAGTAATTAAACACGATTATAAGTACTATGCCGAGAGTTTCGATAAATGAGATCCAAGAAATGGAAAAATGGTGGAAAGATGATGCTGTTGGTGAACAGTTCGACTTACCGACGACTTAACCAGAAGATACTTTCCGAGTCGACAACCGCACGAGAAATGCGAGCACAATGCCGCGGAAGGCTTGAAGAGAGCATCGTAGCTTTGCTATAGGACGTGGTGAACAGGAACAGGTCTCGGTGGTAAGGGTCCAGGAGGAGGCGCCTCGACCACGTCCACGTACTGTAGATCGTTGCACCGGACAGACCACTTTCTATTTCATTTTTTCTTCCCCTTCTCGTTCTCACTCTTATACAGGATCTGGACTTTATGTTCAAATGGACCCGAAGGACTGGTCCATTGCTCAGGACGAGGCTTCTTTGCGTGTCCAGTCACGACTAAACAATACTTAACGATACTAGAGGACGGACCTTTAACGAACCCCCTTTAACCACCCTTCGCAGTCGAATAAAATTAAAGATACCTGAATGTCGAGAATAAAAAGTGCATATTGCAAATTCCATTCGAGATCAATTATTTTTATTTACATGTTCTTGAAGATAAGATGGTATTAGAAGGAGACAAATGAAGAATATTAATTTTTAAATTGAGGATCTCCATGATTTTCGATTAAAATATTATTCCTCCGATGAATCTTTGAATTAATTTATTAAATTGCAGAAATTTTGTACAAGAGAATTATATAAAAATTACAACTTGCTAATATTATCGTACAAGAGGGTGAACGATACTAGAGGACGGACCTTTAACGACCCTTCGCAGTCGAATAAAATTAAAGATACCTGAATATCGAGAATAAAAAATGCATATTGCAAATTCCATTCGAGATCAATTATTTTTATTTACATGTTCTTGAAGATAAGATGGTATTAGAAGGAGACAAATGAAGAATATTAATTTTTAAATTGAGGATCTCCATGATTTTCGATTAAAATATTATTCCTCCGATGAATCTTTGAATTAATTTATTAAATTGCAGAAATTTTGTACAAGAGAATTATATAAAAATTACAACTTGCTAATATTATCGTACAAGAGGGTGAACGATACTAGAGGACGGACCTTTAACGACCCTTCGCAGTCGAATAAAATTAAAGATACCTGAATATCGAGAATAAAAAATGCATATTGCAAATTCCATTCGAGATCAATTATTTTTATTTACATGTTCTTGAAGATAAGATGGTATTAGAAGGAGACAAATGAAGAATATTAATTTTTAAATTGAGGATCTCCATGATTTTCGATTAAAATATTATTCCTCCGATGAATCTTTGAATTAATTTATTAAATTGCAGAAATTTTGTACAAGAGAATTATATAAAAATTACAATTTGCTAATATTATCGTACAAGAGGGTGAACGATACTAGAGGACGGACCTTTAACGACCCTTCGCAGTCGAATAAAATTAAAGATACCTGAATGTCGAGAATAAAAAGTGCATATTGCAAATTCCATTCGAGATCAATTATTTTTATTTACACGTTCTTGAAGATAAGATGATATTAAAAGGAGCCAAATGAAAAATATTAATTTTTAATGATTTCCATGATTTTCGATTAAAATATTATTCCTCCAATGAACCTTTAAATTAATTTATTAAATTGCAGAAATTTTGTACAAGAAGATTCTATAAAAATTCTAACTTGCTAATATTATCGTACAAGAGGGTGATCATTAATCAGGAGGATGAAGATGATTGCAGCTGGATCGAAGATATCGCGTGTGCCCTCTTGGTCCCGGTCATTGAACGCTCCTTCTTCGCGTCCCGATTTTTTCGGTGTTCGTTTTGTTACAGGACCTCCTCCTTTTTCCTCTCCCTTTGTGCTGTTAATCCTCGAGCCCTATGTTCCGTTCTTCCTCCATCGTTTGGTCCTCCTCGTTCCTCCCTACATATATTTTCTTCGGTTTTATTCGCGGGAACATCTGGTGGTTGACGTGGTAGCCGCGGACAAAGGAGAACAGGCTCTCCCAGGAAATCTCGAGGATCGAGGGTGGTTTCCTCTCTTCCACGCCCGTTCCGGCTATTTACTTATACCTAGTGACGTAGAATGTTTGTAAACAATGGATGGCCTGGGGATGGCCGAGGTTCGACCGATGGAATTACATCGGGCACTTCGTAGAGTCGGTCAGGGGTAGATTTACGACCTGCGGAAAATAGGAATTGATTTTCAGTCCTGCTCAGGTATACGTCGGTCATTGTTTCGAAGGTAATTCAGTTTGTATAAGAAATTTTAAGTGACCATTAGACCCTCGTTTATTCTAGGATCTTCCTTTCTGAAATTTCCAACCACCCTCCTTTCGATCATAAAATTAGGATTTCTCGTTTACGACGTCCCAAGATTTCCAAGAGAATTTTAAAATGTTGAGGGGACCAATTTCCATTATTTGGAATTCCAGGGCAAACTCTGCCTTCTGTTTATTATTACTTAATTAAATCGACTGCTTTCAAACTGAAATCTCCCCAAAGAAAATTATTCTCCACCCTCGAAAGTACAAAAGACCCGAGTTATCGAATTGTCCGAAGGGTGAACGAACCAGAGGACGAGTAAATTAAAAGGACGAAAAGGAAGTCTGACGTAATCGCGACGCGTCTTTTCAGTTGTGCCCGTGTCGCTAAGCGCGATATACCGCTAACGAGAACAAGGAACATCTGTCCAGGTTGGTCCATGTTGGACGCAACAACAACAATCTTGCGGCATCGCGTCACTTTTTAATGACATCTCTTCTTCTTTTCTCTCCGACAAACACCGTACCGTTTGCCTACGCGTTGATTATTCAAATGTGTGTGGGACACAGTGTGCGAAAAAAAGAAAGAAGAAGAAAAAAAAAAGAGCGAACGTCGTAAACGCCCGAGCCGCTCGCATTGTCCCATTGAGCCGAGATCCTTTTGGGGTACGTGTGAAAAAGAATGGACAAAGGGAAAATGAATCTTCTTGGTTCTCAGGCGATCGGCAGACGGCCAGACGGACGGATTAACTCGTTTTAAAAGGACCCTTGGACGCCATATTGCCAGTGGCCGAAGAGAGGAACGACCGCTGCTACGCTTCTTCGATCCTGCCGAGACCGGTCTGTTTTCATCCCGAAATGCGCCTACACCGGCGCAACATTCGATTTTAAAAGCCTGCCTCGAGGAAGCTCGGCTCCTCGAATTTTAACCCAATTTGGGAGAAATAAATTTCACATTTGGAAAACTGGACAAAAAAGCGTTCCATTTAGGAAGAGTTTATTTTAATTTTAGAAATTTTATCAGAGGTTCGAGCAAAAATGATTCTCATTGAAATTTTACAAACTGATTATATATTCATGTTGCATTGAAATTTTGTCGATGAAACTTTTGAAATCACCTGTAGTTACCCTCCAGGGACGGGTTTTTTGCTTGACAACCAGCAATTTCAAGCCATTCTTCTTCCTTTTGCAACGATCTGACAGTGGTTCAACAAGAATCGTGATAATTGTCTATTTTTTCTAAGCTTATGTTTGAAAAACAATTTCAATCGAAAAGAAATGAAATTAACTTTGAGAGTCAATATAGTTGAAAAGAAAATGACAAGAATTGTACGGTGCAGAATTGCATCAGGAATCGTTAGAATTGCATCAATCGTACAGATATACGATCCTGTAAGAAGCTAATAAATTCCAGTATGTAAATCATTTCGAGTCTCCCTTTCAAGGGTCACTGTGCAAGGGTCAAAGGTCACAAGTGATTCCACAGTGTGTACACTTATTCATGCACGGTATATACCAACAGACGGGTGAATGCAGATTTTAGATTAGGCCTCGTGAAAGCATCAAGTCCCTGTTGTTGCATGCAACATACCCTGACTGCATTTAAACTCGCCTCGACTTCAACTTCAGCCTTCAAACATTTCTAATCTTATATTTTTACTATTCCACTAATCCCACTGCAACCTTAATTATAAATACCATAATTTTGGAAAAATAAATTAAACAAATTAATAATTATTCTGTAATTAAGATTGAGGAACGAAGGATCTTAGACTCTCTTTAAATTGAAAATAAGGCTCCTGGTCGAACCGCTTTTGGAAAATTTGGAAAATTTCAGCAAAACAAAGAGGATATTACTTGTCAAAGTGAAAAACGAAGAGCACTCGTTTTAACCAGCCCATTGGACAGATGTTCGGCCCGCTTCGTACACGATCGTTCCCCTCTTCCCGATGCCGAGAGAGAAGTATCTCGTAAAATAATGTAAATCTCTAATGGGCCAGGTTCGTTAACCCTTCCGAGGAGCCTTGAGATCCTTTCGACCAATGAAATACGTGGCACACGTGTTCGAACGTTTGCCCGAACGTTTCCTATCGTCCTACGAAGATCGTTATCATGGTTCTGGTATTCGATGATTATTGCGATAAAAACAGATATAAAAGAATTTATTGCATTTTATGAATGCAATGAATGGATACTCGACGAATCTCGTTAGCGTTTCAAAGAAAGAGAAAGGTGCTGAAAGATTGATTAGAGTGGATGCAGTTAACAAGCATTCGTGGCTCGTAAATAGATACTCGTGTACGTTCAGGTATTTGCACCTGAAGGAATTACAGGAAGAACTGATTCGCGTGTTGTCGTTTAGTTGCGTCACGCGTGTTGCGACTACACGCGCGTGCAAAGTCAATTATCACTTATTCCCGATAGACAGTGAATGGATGATACAACAATTTTTTTTTAAAATATTTTACAATGAGTGAGAGCAAGGTAGCTTCACCCAGCAAACTTAGCTCTCATAGTGATTGAGAATGAAATTTTCGCGGAAAAATTTTCAAAAGAACCGCGGTTAAATGAGAAAAGAAACAAAATAAAATAAATGGAGGGGCGTGAGCGACACACCCAGCTAACGTAGCAGTCATCAGCAATGATTGCATAAAGAAAAGTAGACAGAATACAAAAATAAATTTAGTTTCATTCCGCCTCGGATGGCGGACCATGGAGAGAGGCCCGATTATAATTAAATTTCGCATATTCCTATGATTTTCAGTTCCTAAATTTTATGCTATTCTTTCAAAAATTATTCTAATCGATAATTACCTTTCGATTTCAGTATCTTTGGCTACCGGAAGCGGCTTCAGCAACGCTGAACGTCGCGGAGTATGGTCCAAAGCTGAAACTGGCGGTCTGTGCATTCGCGTGACTTTGTCCACCGAATGGTTTCCCATGGGAGTCGATGGATCCTGCGGATGCTGTGGCGAAGGATCCTCCACCCCCAGTGGACGGTGGGTAATAGTGTTCCGGAGGTTGGTACCTGAAATCAAATTCCACAGATTATAATATTAAAAAAATAGGTAGAAACTTGTAGTGTCAGCAGAGTAGATTTAATGGAAAGGGGTACGTACCCTCCGTAGTGACCAGTAGGGTGGCCATGGAAACCTTCTGGTTTGTGTTTATGGTGTTTATGCTTTCTATGGTGATCGAAAGTTCGCTCTTCTTCTTCTTCCGAATAATCCGAGTAATCTTCTCCTAGAAGTCCAAACTGTGGTGATCGTTGCTCTCTATTTTGATCTATAAAATGTCACCAATCTCGAGTTTCATCGATCCCTTTCCATATAAAGAACGAAACAAAGAAAATAAAGTATCATTCGCTAACCAGCATCCACTGACACCACTTCCATTAGCTGAACAGGGTTCAAAGATCCAGGATTCGATAATTTTTCGGCCGGTTTCGCGAGACACGCGTAGAATAACGCGTTAAGCGAGAACAGCAATAAAAATTCTAATATTCGCATGGTTATAACGAAACGACAAGATCGACGGCGAGAAACGAAATTGTAGGAAGTCGAAGGAGTAGGATGCTTTTATACGAGCACCCTTCACCAATAAAATTCAAGGAAGACACCCATAGTTCTGTAATTTCCGGCGATCAGAGGCTCATCTGTCATTGGTTCCTAAAGAGTGGTCGACCTTACTGACCAGGGTCGATCGAAAGTGGACCAGAGGAAAGTACTAGTTCGCCTGAGGAATTACGCTCCGAGGAATTACATGGTCGAAGAAAAAAAAAAAGATTGGATACTCGGATGAGCAATGATTCTGAAGGATCATGTTTTATTCAGTATTCGAGTGTGAGTGTTCAAGGTTTAGATAATTTCCGGAGTATTACTTCCGTATCTTCTAGATGATTTATGGAGAATTTGAGGAATTATAATTTAACAAGTAGAGAGGTGAATATTTTAAATACATTTTATTGATTTAAAGTAATCATACAGGCTAATATAGTGGTCTTGTATCTCTCCATATCATTAAAGAAAGTAATTTTTAACAAGTAATTGGTAGATTAATTATCAGGAAAACTGATTTCGTCGATTTAATTTCATTTTATTCGACACCTTGAAACGTGCCAATTCGAGTATTTTCATATTTTGCATGGAATCTCGTTAACCGAATGTCTGTTGATGTTGATGAGCTTCGCTTTGTGCAACTGATAAGCTGCTATGCGGTAGATTGACATTGGCAGCGAAATCGTGAGTCTCTGAATGAGATGATGAATAATGTGGCAGACGATGATGAGAATGATGATAATGCCCGGGGTTGGAGTGAACCGAAGCTGATGCTTGGGCGACGTTTACAGAAGACGATCCCCATCTGAAATTAAAAAATAACAAATGATAAAAAATGATCACTTACTTCAGATTTCACAGATTTATTTATTTGTTTTATTTATAATTTTGTCAGATTATTGTTAAGCTTACCCTGGATATTGCATCCTGTGAATATGTTTCTTAGTTCTTTCAAGTTCTTCAAGTTCTCCTTCAACTTGGTTGCTGATTTTCAGAGCCTCTTTTATTTCTTCGTTCTCTGAAAAGTACACGGTTTCATTAGAATATTACACATCAAACAATTTTAATTAATTTCACATTCTCGTTAAAATTCTCACTTTTCGTTGATGGAACGCTGCTCTTTGATGGTCGAGCATCGATCATCACCACTACAGCAACGAAAACGAATAACAGGAGGAACTTCATTCTTGCTGAATGTCACAGAACTAAATGTACCATTCCGTCCTCGATGCTTCCCTTTTAAAGGTACCCTTCCCCCATTACCGGGGATTTTTCGGGAAAAGTTTACTCGGACCATCGGTACCCTTCGTGGAATTTTAGGAAAGTGATTAGAGACAATAGAACGGGACTCCGTTAGAAAGGGGCATACCCCTGGATTTTCCCCTAATGACACTGCTGATTATAACTGCGATATCCTCAAAACTATGGAATTTTACGTAGATAATGAGGTTTCAATGACTAAGCACTTTTCCATTTTCCTAATAATCAATGACACATACCTACCCGAATTTTCATTACAAATTTTTATTTGCAATTTTAAGTGAAAGATTGCTGTCTACAGGTTTCACAAATTATTGTTTTATTTATGAAAATATGCAATGTCGAATATTCCATTTATTGTAATCTATTTTCAATTAACACTAGATTACCAGAGCGAGTCAATTTGACTAATTTACGATATGATTCCTATATAAATAGAAAAATTTAAATAACTTTTTTAAAACATATGTTGGTTTTTAATAGAATTATGAAATGTATACAGATACTAATTCCTTCCTCTCCCTACTCGTTAGTTCCAAACGTTCGAATGTGCTATACCTATTTTGATTTGACGGATCTATTTGTCTGGCAATCTAGTGTTAATTTAGAAATTGATTTATTTCTGAATCTTCAAATTAATATTTGCAAAAAGAGGACCCTTTCAGTCCGAATTATGTTTAATTGATTTATTTCTGAATCTTCAAATTAATATTTGCAAAAAGAGGGTCCTTTCAACCTAAATTATTTTTAATTGATTTATTTCTGAATCTTCAAATTAATATTTGCAAAAAGAGGCTCCTTTCAATCCAAATTATTTTTAATTGATTTATTCCTGAATCTTCAAATTAATATTTGCAAAAAGGTCGTTTCAATCCAAATTATTTTTAATAAAAACCACAATATAAGTTAGCAAATGTTTTTTAACTATTTCTGTTGCTATCTTTCAGAAGTATTTTCTTATTATTCGTTTTGATAATAATATAGAATCTCAGTTATTAAAGATTCTTAGATTAAGTGCATCTTTTATTGTTATGCGCAACGAAGATTCCGCGTAGAGATTATGCGATGCAAATTATACCTGCATATTCAAACGACCCAGGATATAAAGGAAGAAAAACAGAAACTCTAATAACACTACTTTACGATTCCTATTCGACGACGGCATACAAACATTTACGAGTAAACGTTGTTCATTTTGTCATGAACAACTATCTCGAACGTAATTAGTTATAATTAGCACCTTCGTGGGTTTATATTTAGTCTACCTTAAGATATATTCAATGAAATCGTTCGGTAAAGAGTTGACTCTTCTAGGAAAATGAGTGTCTTATTTTCAAAGAAATTTTACTAATCAATGATTTAAACATTTTTGTTATACTTTAGCAAATATTCGCAGTAGTTTAATTACCAATGATCCAAATAATCCTCGTTTTAATTATCAAATTGCATCAGTTACAAGGATTTTAAAACAAGTGCAGGTCAATAAAGAGGTCTCTGTGATGTCGATAGAAAATCATGGTGTTTATTAAATTCTTATTTCGTACAGAGAATACAATAATATATATTTATGTTACATAAGAGAGCAAGGCAGAGGTGGAAGACGATATCCGTCGCGGTATGATAAGGCATGATAATAGACGATAATTACGCTAAGATGCAAAATGCTCTTTGCAAAAAGTGATTATCAATAATTACGTACAAATTGCAAGATGTCATGGTACATTAGTAATTAACAGGACAAGCATTTTTAACCATTCATTTTGTATGAAACGACAGTATTGTACAATATAACTTTTATTAAAATTCATTTCCAATTTGGAAAATCAATCATAAGTCTTTCGGTATTTTCGAATTTAAGTGATTGAGAGTCATCGAAAGTTTACTTTGAAACGAAATGCTTTGCAATACGAAAGATATCGTAGCAGTCAACTATGACCCTTACAATATTTGCTCAATCTCAAATACGTCATAGTGAATAAAACATGCATTTTAATACAACTTCGAGGAGAATCGGTGAAAAACGATGTAACATCTTACGTTTAGTCAGCAGTGTCGTGATCGAAGAAACTATGGACAAATAAATAAATTGTTACCTAATCGTACAAACACTTGATCTAACCCAGAGAGCTATCGATAATTTAACATTTAATTACTAATATCGATAAATAGCTAGAATATTATTCCATAAGAAGCGACTGTGAACATACTTTTCAATTCGAAGGAAAGGATATTTAGAATGAATTCTGGCAAGAACAGTATCACATGTTAGGAATCAATTTTGAACTAACGACTCGATTGAACAGATTATCGCAATGAAAAAGATAAAAATTGCATAACATCGATTGATTTACTGCATCAATCTTCATTACACCGTATCACCATTATACATAAATGTGACCGTATCTACGATCTTGTCGTTAATTATGTGACATTAAAATAGTCGATCGTGTCTTCGAGTACATGATCAGTGACGTACCCTACAATCTACCTTAGAAATCTTAACTACGTTCGAAGGAGTATTCGTAAAAATTACAGAATAATGGCACGTCCATGGCGTCAGTTCGGTTGATCGTTGAAGAATCTCGTCAAGAATCTCGCATACTTCGACGTTTGAGCGATTATTGGCTGAAGACGAGCATACTCCTCGTGTCGATTTTAGCTTCTGCGTTACTGGAGGCTGAGCTACCACCTGATCCGGCGTTCGCGCTGCTCGATGCTACTGCTTTCGCGTTGGCCGAGGCATTTCCGCTTCCGAAGGCCGACGATTTAGCTGAACTAGTTGCCGAAGCAGATCCTCCGCTCGCGAAAGAGCTGGAATTCGCGGTGGAAGATGCGCTTGACGAGCCTGAAGAAGGGAGAGGAATCATTTAATTAGGATCAGGCCTGATTGCATTGCCTCGGCGAAGGACGATGCCGATGCCTTGGCACTGGCACTCATCTCTACGAAACAACACCATAGAATTTTTTGTAACTTTTATACAGAAAATTTGAATAAATAAAATGGGAAACCTACCCTGTCCATAACCTCCAGCTGTTGCTGTGGCATCAGCTTTGGCGCCCGCTACGGAAGAAGCTCCACCTCCACCGTTAAAACCAGAAGATCCAACACCACCATAGGAATTTCCATCGCTACCAGCGTTTCCTCCCAAGTTACCAGCCGATCCAGTGCTTCCAGCATTAGCTACCGCGTTAGCATTCGCGCTCGCACCAGCAGCACCTCCAGAAAGTCCGGTGTTGTAACCTGGTCCAGTGGATCCGTAACTGGGCAAACCCTTGATGGGAGTACCTACTCCAGATCCACTGTTTCCAGCATTGGCGTTGCTGTTTGCTCCAGCATTAGCTCCACCTTGTCCATATCCTCCTGTGCCAGAAAATCCAGTACTTCCAGCTCCTCCTAATACTGATCCACTGCTTTCAACCTTAGCTCCACCTTGTCCATATCCTCCTGCTCCAGAAAATCCAGTACTTCCAGCTCCTCCTAATGCTGATCCACTGCTTCCAACCTTAGCTCCACCTTGTTCATATCCTCCTGCTCCAGAAAATCCAGTACTTCCAGCTCCTCCTAATGCTGATCCACTGCCTCCAGCATTAGCTCCACCTTGTCCATATCCTCCTGTACCAGAAAATCCAGTACTTCCAGCTCCTCCAAATCCTGATCCACTGCCTCCAGCATTGACTTTGCTGTTAGCTCCAGCATTAGCTCCACCTTGTCCATATCCTCCTGTGCCAGAAAATCCAGTACTTCCAGCTCCTCCTAATGCTGATCCACTGCTTCCAACCTTAGCTCCACCTTGTCCATATCCTCCAGCTCCAGAAAATCCAGTACTTCCAGCTCCTCCTAATGCTGATCCACTGCTTCCAACCTTAGCTCCACCTTGTTCATATCCTCCTGCTCCAGAAAATCCAGTACTTCCAGCTCCTCCTAATGCTGATCCACTGCCTCCAGAATTAGCTCCACCTTGTCCATATCCTCCAGCTCCAGAAAATCCAGTACTTCCAGTTCCTCCAAATCCTAATCCACTGCCTCCAGCATTGACTTTGCTGTTAGCTCCAGCATTAGCTCCACCTTGTCCATATCCTCCAGCTCCAGAAAATCCAATACTTCCAGCTCCTCCTAATCCTGATCCACTGCCTCCAGCATTAGCTCCACCTTGTCCATATCCTCCTGTTCCAGAAAATCCAGTATTTCCAGCTCCTCCAAATCCAGATCCACTGCTTCCAGCATTGGCTAGAGCACTAGCCTTGCTATCAGCGTTTGCTCCAGAAGATCCACTACCATAAGCAGGTCCAGAGGTTCCATACGTTGGGGCTCCATAGCCACCAGTACCAGAATTAGCACCAGAGTTCGCTGCAGGGTTTTCGAATACGCTATTGGAGCCAGATTGTCCATTAACACCACTTGCTCCATTGTAGTAAGAACCTTCAGGAGACGCTGGAACCGTTAATGGAGTTGTTTTAATTGGTTGGTTGTATCCACCTGATCCCGCAGCATTGGCACCCGCGTTCGCACCAGCGTTCGCGACAGCTCCTGAACCTGCAGCTCCTGAAGAAGGTGCACCATAGTTTCCTCCACTAGGATACATGGTAGGGACGCCCTTGATGACATTCTGACTTCCTGCAATCGCTCCAGCATTGGCACCTGCGTTAGCTCCTGAACCTGCCACTCCTGAAGAAGGTGCACCATAGTTTCCTGCACCAGGATACGTGGTAGGGATGTTCTTCATGGTATACTGGCTTCCTCCAGTTGCTCCAGCATTGGCACCTGTGTTGGATCCATAATTTCCTCCACTTGGAAGTGCACCATTCAGGAAGGGATTGTTTGCACCAATTGGTGCTTGAGAACCACCCGTGGCACCAGCGTTTGCAATTGCACCAGCATTTGCAGTTGCACCAGCATTTGCAATTGCACCAGCATTTGCACCAGCGTTACCATTTCCAGAACCACTTAGGAATGGATTATTTCCGCCTATAGGAGCGGATGGACCAGTTTGGTAGTGTCCTGTACCCTGTCCTTGACCTGGATACGCGCCTCCATTGGTGTTAGCGCCTACATTGGTATTCGCCCCAGAACTGCTCAGGAAGGGATTGTTAGCTCCGATGGGTCCCGATGGAGCACTCGATGAATAATACTGTGGCTGTTGATGAGAGCCTGATGGAACTTGGTAGTTTCCATTGGTAGCAGCGTTAGCATTGGCAATAGCCATGGCGTTGGCGTTTGCATTGGCGTTGCCATTTCCAAATCCTGATGGATAAACAAAATTCATAATTAATTAATTTAACGAAATCAAGAAATGTGACGATGACAGACTTAACAGGAAAGATATTTCTCAATTATATCATTGTTCTTCAAGATTTCAATTCTCCGTGTTAAATGTTAATCAAAATAAGTGCCAAGTGTCTGAAAAAGAGTTAGCTTCCATCAAGTGCGTCAACAGAGTGCATCGATCATTCTCAGTTAAGGTGCAAACGAGTGAGTGCTAATTAATTATGGTGCAGGTAAATGAAAGGGTCAGCAGCGTCCAGTGGCTCACCTTGGCCTTGCCTCGGCGATTCCGGCTCTTCTATTACGATGATCTCAATTGGTTCTGGCTTAGGTTTCGGACCGTACTGTGGTCTTGGACCATAATGAGGTTCTGGTCTTGGACCATAGTGAGGTACTGGTCTTGGACCATAATGAGGCATTGGTCTACCATGTGGAGGACCATCTACGATCACTATTGGTATCACTGTCTCATCGTTGCGTGCAGGTGGTTGGTATGGACGAACGATCACCGAAGGCTGATGCTGAGGATGAGACTGATAGTGAGGATGAGGCTGATAGTGAGGTTGAGGCTGATGGTGAGGACGAGGATGAGGATGATACGCAGGAGGAAACTTTTCGATCTCATAATCGTATCCTCCAGCTGGAGACACGGTTAAAGTAGGTTGTCCCAGAGAAATACTGTTGGCTCCAGTTATGGCGTTTGCATCGGCTCGCTCGTTTCCATGGTAATAAATGGCTGGTAAACCATTACCGTTTGAATTTACGTTAGTTTTCGCACCTCCGCTTGGATAGATATCTAGATTCACATTTGAATTGGTATTCGCATTGCTAGCTGCACCAGCGTACGCGTTAGCATTTGCAGCTGCGTTTGCACCCGACTGAGAACCACCATAACTACCGTACTGTTGATCGTTTGATGGGTAGCTATCGTACCCGTCACCATAGTTGTTGGTGTTAGAATTATAATTTGGACCTAAAGAACCAGCGTAACCTATATTGAAAAAAAAAAAAAAACTGAAGGGTTATTACGGAGTTTGAGAGGACTTCGTCATTTTGTTATTCGCAAGTTTTCCGATTTTCCAATTTCTCGAAGCTTATTTTCCTTAATTTCCTAATTTAGAAATTTTCAATTATAGTACCTTGGGCACCAGCTATGGCAGAGGCATCAGCTTTGGCCGAGGCTCCTCCAGAAGCTTGAGAATTCGCTGTAGCACCAGCAGAGGCTAATCCATTGCCAGTTGCCTTTGCATTGGATGTACTGAAGGAGTGATGGCTTTTAATTCCTATCGGTCCCAAATTCAGATCTCTGTCGGAAGTGAACGTGTTACTGTTCGCCTGAGCACTTGAACCTTGTTGCGGAATACCAAGGATCTGTTTCACGTGTCCTCCAATATGGTCTCCAATGTGAGTTAGGTGACCTAACAAACCTGCAGAAATAATTAATTAATTAATTAAATTTCCCAATTTCTTAACGTTTGATTTCCCAATTTCTCAAAGTTCAAATTTTTTCTAATTTCCCAATTTCTCAGCGTTTGATTTCCCAATTTTCCAAGCCTTCAATTTTCTACTTTTCCAAATTTAGAAATTTTCGAATACCTGAAGCACCGGCTGTAGCAGACGCATCAGCATTGGCCGTGGCTATTCCAGATCCTTGCGAATACGCTTTAGCGTCAGCGGAAGCGGCAGCATTGTTTCCTCCAAAAGCTTGGGAAGAAGCTTTGGCATCGGCAACGGCTGATCCACCGCCAAACACTGCCGGATGTTCCTTCTTCACATGATTCAACAGACCAAGTAAACCTCCTGAAATAATTACATCCGAAATAATTGTACGTCGAATTTCATTTTCCGACCGGAAGTGTCCAACGAAAACTCACCGGACGCGGAAGAATTTTCAACGAGCAACACCAGCACAATCGGCACGAAACACTTCAGCAACCTCATGTTTTTTAAACTCCTTCGCTATTTTTTTTCTACACACACGAACTGTAATTTTATTGTTTTTTTTTTTTTAATTCCTTATTGCGTTCGGCGAAGCCGTTACAAGTCGATAATCGTTACGTTCGAAGAGTCAAGAACGACTGAAGCTCTTGAACGAGACAACAGCTTTATATAGGAAGGGGACACCGGTGGATTTTACGTCCGACAATAATTACCCATTTACCCATCGTTCTTCCCCTCCTCTGTTCTTTCGTTTCTATCCGTTCCAAGCAAAATTCATAATTTTATAGAGAATCACTTCAGTAGGACTGATAAAATTTCCAAACGCATTGAAAATTAATTGGAACATGATATCAATGTGATATATGGAAATTTGGTAGAGGAAGGACAGTACTTTTACTGGCTAGAGAGAAACCGACATTGTCAAGGACAGTAATTGCTTCGAAGAAACGTTTCGGATATTTCCCGGGATATCCCTGTCGGTTAACGACTCGTATTTTTAATTGAAATTTTGGAAAACCACAGGGCTGAAATTTTTATCTAATCCCATCATCGATTCCCTTATCTTAATTATTTTATTTTTGTTTCAGGGATATTTTCGTCGTGACACAGCCTGTGCGTCATGGATACAATAAAATCTCTGTTACCTGGAATGTTCTAACGGTAATTAATAACAGTTGAATTTCTATTATCTGGAATGTTCTAACATTCTAACAATACATTTCAAAGTTTTTGCATTTGTAGCCTAAGCAGTGTTTACTGTCCTCTATAAATAAGTACAGAATATTTCAAACTTTTTGCTCTTGGAGTCTAAGCAGAATTTACTATCTTCTATTTTAAAATTTAACAACGATAATTACTGTTAACCTTCCGTTATTCTTCAGTTTCGCTAAAGATCAAAGCAAATTTATGTTCATTGAAGAAGAATCAAAAAAGGCTTGAAACAGGATGCTAGCTGGTTAATTTTGAGAAAGGAATGTCGTCCCCAAAAAATATAGTCAAAAAACAAATAAATAGAGAATCTTCGATGTTACATAACGGTGGATTTGGTGAAAGATCAAAAACGCTGTTCGATAAATTGCAATTAATACGATTCCGCGTCAATTAATCAATACGGATGTTAATAACGATGAGTAATATGAATCGCGTGGGACAACGTAATCGTGAAAATGCTGAGAAAAATTAAATATAAAAGAAACAAGGACATACGTGTCTCTTTACATGGATCTAATGAATATTCACTTATTAAAAGAAGGATCAATTTTCATGGTTTTATTGAAGAATTGATTGCATCGAATAACAGTTCCTAGAAATTCATTAACATTGACAGAAATTTTCTTGTTTATTTATCATTGTTCTAATGGATATTAGATAGTTGGAATTTTCATGGTTATCGATCAGCGTGTAAACGAACATTTATCTAATCGTATTAGCATATTGAGAAAAATTCTGATAAAAGCAATTCAAAGGTCTCGGTATCGATAACAGAGTTATTTAAATAAAAGTGAATAATACGTGTATATCGATCGAATAATATTTCACATTCTCGTAAGTAAATTATTCCTTTGATTGGAATCTCGAATAGACAGCAAAATAAAGGCCGAGGTGCCATGTACGGCGGGGAAAATCCGATGAACGCATCTCGATTGAAAATCACGTAGCGATACGATGGATCGAACGAGAACAGAGTCGTCGATATTATCATTTCTACGATGATGTTGAATGATTTCGGTGAATCTTCGATATTGGGTCAAGGTGCCGTTCGCGAGAAATCGAAGAAGGAAAAAACCGGGAAGCATTCAACCTTTGTTTGAAAAACACTGATTATGTTATCTTAATTAGATTAACACTAAATCTACCAGAGCGGTCAAATGACCGCGTTTGAGACTTTAAAGTTAATTGAATCAATTAACTTTAAAGTTAATTAACTTTAAAGAATCAAAGTTAATTGACGACAATTATTTTGTGTGTTATTGCCGCTACTGAATTCTGTATTATTTATAATCAATTGGAAAAAATATAATGTTTATTTGAAAAGCGGTCATTTGACTGCCATCGATAGAAACAGGTATATATAAAATGTCAGTAGGTTTAGTGTTAATCGAGAGACACGAGAGGCTCGGATATAGGAATTTCTTTAATAACAGAATAGTCACTTCGTGATTCGAAGATAAACGTATATTAAGATGACGGTTTCTCGGCTTTTGAAAATCCAAAATACCATTGACGTAAGCAGTGATTTTAAAGGCAACAATACGTACGTAAGAATTAAGAATCCTTTCGCGGAACGTCGCCGTTACTATTTAGAATCTTAGACATCTTCACGAAAATCACTCCTTATCGAAGCTAGTTTTTATCTATGAATTATTCATCAATTTTTTCCAACGATGGATTCTATAATTTGCGGGCCTGTCTGAAAACTTGTATTTTCAAGGCCTGGTTCAACGACTGTTTCCTCTTATTCTAGGAATACAGTTCCTAATAATTTTTCGAATACCATAAATAAAATATATAGAATAATTTATAATTGAATGAAGGAATAAAAGATTGGGTGAACTTGTAGTTGAGCTACTCCCCGTCCGATTTTGATGATTTTTAAATATGTTGTAAAATTCGATATTTTAAGCAACTTTTTTCCTCTAAGCTATATGTTGGATTTGATTGATTTGCGAGATATTCGCGAAAGAATATTATTACTACTACAGCGAATGGACCAGCTCTCTTGCCAGCTCTCTTGCCTACCGTTTCTGTAAGCACCAGTGTGTAGTCCGGCTCCTAATCATACAACGGGAGAGCTGAAAAATCAAATTATAACATTTGACTGTCGTGGCCGGCGATCTATTAATCTAACCTAACCTAACCTAACCTACACGTATAAGTAACAGAAAAATAAAATACTGCCAACATTAGTTTTAACCAATGTGGTATATAATGTATTCTGTTATTTACATGTCCAGATTAGGTTAGCCTAACCTAACCTAACCTAACCTACACGTATAAGTAACAGAAAAATAAAATACTGCCAATGTGGTATATAATGTTTTCTGTTACTTACATGTCCAGATTAGGTTAGATTAGGCTATATCAATATTCATGACGCACAAGTCCAAGTGTCAAAATTATTGAAATTAGTTAAATTTAATTTTAAGCTCACCTGTTATATGAATGGTAGTCGGGTCATGTGGTGCTGTTGACAGTGTCGACCCATTCTCATCGACACCTGCACTAACCGACCATTCCAAAGTGTCCAGTCCGTCCATCCTGTAGAACCTTTCTTCGATATTTATGTATCCGGACCTTTCTTTCCTAAATCTTAAACTATTAGGACCTTTTTCCCAATCTCCCCTACAAGACCATCGTTCGATATTTATATATCCAGGCTTTTGTTTCCCAAATCCTTAGCTATCAAGATCTTTTTCCCTATTTCCCCTACGAGGCCCTTTCGATATTTATGTTTCCGTCATCAGGCCCTCATTAAGAAAATCTTCACAACGTCCCATTTCCTTTTTCTCACGGCTGGACCACCATCCCCAACTCCATCCTTTTACCGAGGAAATTCGTCCTATAAAAAGGGCGTTAAAAGGAGACACCAGTCCTCGTAACTTTAGACTTGCATATAGGTATTGTCTAAGATTGTATTATTATAAGAATATACTGACTTAAAAACAAGAAACTAAGTTCGTTTTCGAGTGACTCCGATGACAAAGGAAAAAAGTTGCTTAAAATGACGAATTTTACAACATATTTAAAAATCATCAAAATCGGAGGGGGGTAGCTACAAGTTCACTGAAAAAAGATTGAATTAAGCTGGGAAAATCTAATTCGAATCAGCTGAACGTATTTCTCTAGAATTTTGATAAAACTACGGGGAACTGCCGAGAGAATCTGACGAAGTCAGCTCATTCGAGATTCATGATCGATTCGTGATCCCTGGGTCAAACGTCTGGATTTCTGAAGGAGAACTCGCGAGCGATACGGAACTCGCGGTGTTACGAAACGGAATCCCGTGGTAGCCTTTCATTGACTCGGTTCTCCTTGATGACTCACTTTCGGAACGAGTCTCCTCGTCAACGCGATTCGAAATTCTATGACGAGGAAAACCCAATGCCACGCTTACGTGACACGATGTATCTTTATCTCTTTTTGCACTCCAACGAAAACACGGAGGTGGAACCTGTTAACTAATTAGCATACGCGGCTTGTTACGTGTTCATATTCGTAGACGATGCTTCAAAAATAAGTCTTCCGTTATTTCCCCAGCTGTCTTTCTCTCTCAATCACGGTGTATCGTCCGGAATTCAATGTACTTTAAATATTTATTTCACATGAAACTTAGGTACATGGATGGAGATGTATACAATTAATATTTGCAGCGATTCCTCTTCGAAGTAACTCTTACGTTAATTAACTTAGAATTTAATAAACCTATCATTTCGTTCCACTTTTGCATGTTCTTATGCTTTGAAACAGGAAATACAGAATAAAAATGACTTGTTCTATTAATGAAAAATTATTGTCCTGTTAAATACCTGAACTTAAATCGGTCGAAGAATCGATGAATTCACGTATACACATATAGTAAACGTATTATTGTCTTTGAACGTTTGCAAAATATTTTATTATGCATCTGTATTATTATATAATAGTAACACACCACCCATTGCAAATTTAGTATTCAATCCACTGCCTTATAATTTTTGAAAGTGAACAAAGTTTACAATATTGTAAGGCAAGGGATCGTGAATTTTTAATAATTAATTGACTTTCGCTGAAATGTTGCAATAGGTGGCTAAGAATCAGGTAAGAGACACGGACTATACATTTGTAACTTTTCTCGATAAACTTATCCTATCGGCCAAGCATTCATAGAGGAATATTTTGTACAGAATAAGGTTGCTCTTTCTCGATGATTTTCCATTCGTTTCGCGAGATCATTTCGGATCGAAAGATTCACAATTCCTGTTCACACGAATATGCTTTCGAACGAGATTATGTCTAAATGGAACAAGGTCGCAAAACACAACGAGTCACGAACACAATTCGCAAACGGATCGACGTTACGTAAGATATAGCTAACGTGTGATCGTTCGAGATTCCTGTTTAATTATTAATATCCACTTAGAAGAAAAATTTGCGGTAAATCAAGTGAAAAATTTCTCTTCTATTTTCACTTTACACCGATACAGTTTTACGCGTCGCAAGATAAATAGGAACGAATATATCACATAAGTGAATAAGAACGCTGTCCACGCTTGAAAAATTTTAATACATTTCGACGAATTAAAAATTCTACTTAATGTATGAGGTACAAATTAAATCACGCAAATAATACTGTAAAGTATATTACTCGCTAGAACCCTGTAACCCCAATCCGTCGTTTTTCAGAAGGCAAATACGAAACTGAAAACGACCATATAATCTATAAAACGAAGAAAAAGAATCGCATCCCTGAGATCCGTTCAAGAAATTCAACGAAGTTATCATCTATCGTGGGTTACAGCGAGTCCCAGACTGCCACTTAACTACTAAATCGTAAAAATAAATGAAATCGTAGGAAAATAATTCGTCAACTGCAATATCGAGTTCCTTTCGTCTAAATGGTGGGCCTCGAACTGCATAAATTACTTTATGGCAATTTATGGCGGGGCCATAAAGGGCCCGCACGAAGCCAGCTAGGCTCCTCCTGCACGGATTACACGGTACAAACTTTAACCCGTTCGATAATCAGTCGGATGACACGCGTTTCCGTGAATCATACTATTTTCGAAATGAAAAACTCTAATACGAGTCAGCTGTGCAAAAGTTATTATGGCGAAATTATCGGAAAATTTTGGAAAAATTGTGATTTTTAAAATGGCCATAACTTTGTAACGCCACGTGATATCGACCTCAGGACACTTCCTATCGTCTTCTCCGACTTTGATTTATCCGATAAAATAGTCGAGATCAATTACCCGGAAAACTGCAATCCAACCGCTCTGTATACTACCAGGTATACAGTACAGGACCTTCGTGTAGGCCCTTTATGGCCCCCGACATAAAGTAATTTGTGCAGTTCATGCAGGACCGTCTAAATCAGGTATCCTTTTGAGTCCGTAATTTCACGAAGAAAATTATCCTATCTAAAGATTTCTTTAAGGTAGAGGAGTACGACCCGCTGTTTCCACAACTTCCCGCGAATCCGTATTTTCTTCCTTAACTTCGTTCTCTTCGTTCTCCGTTTCCGTTTTCCGAGCCAGCGCATAGTTGTTCAGGTACTCGACCACTTGCATGTGTCCGAAAGATTCTGCTTCGTCGATCGGTCGTTTTCCCCACCTGCAATATTTTCATGTGACTATAAAAAACCTTCTTCGAGATGAGGCGCTCAAAGAGAAAGTACGAATAAAAAATCAGGTCGATTGACTGTGTAAAAGAGAATCGGATGACATTTACCTGTCCTTGGGTTCGTCTGGCACCCCGCACTGTTCGAGCAGAAACTCGACACAGTCCAGGTGTCCTTCACTGGCTGCCAAATGCAAAGCTGTCCTGCCATCGTAGTCTGACAGTGTCATGTCCATTCCGCTCAATCGATGTCTGAAATTATTTTAATGCCATTTACGTTTTTCCTTTCTCTTCTCGCCGATCATTCGACATACGGTGAAGATTCGATAATTGCGAAAAGGATCTGTACGATAAATGCGAAGAACTCATCCCCACCGATGGGGGGTATACCCCTTGAGATGCAATAAAGACCTAAATTTGTTATTTTTCATTTTTGTCTTATAAAACTTTTACCAGGATATTTCGGACATTTTTCTGATTAAAATGATACCAAACACGACGTAATTCGGAACATATTTACTTGCAACAACTTATTATGTATCATTATTATTTCTGTTAAATTAGAAAAAAGTGACACGGTAAATATGGTCCGAATTATATCGTGTTTGGTCTTATTTTAATTAGAAAAATGTCACAAATCTGATAATCAAAATTTCATAGCAAAGAAATTAGAGATAAAAATTAGGCATTTAATTTTTTACGACCACCTCGACTCTCACCTCTTTTTTCTTTATCAAACTGTCTCTTTCTACGTTCGTCATCGTTGACAAAATACAAACGGTTTGCAGAATCGAATCTTCTGTTCGCTAAATGCTCCTCGCCGGTCCCAATTAATTTCTGAACACTTATCGAGTCTTTACTGTATAATGGTTTGTATTTCTCCTTGATCGCTTCGTCTACGTTCAATGCGACTGCACGATATGAGCGAAAATTCGGTCCCGAGCATTTCGCAATTATCGAATCTTTACTGTGATTAAGAAGAGGTAATTAATCGTTACCTCCTCATCGCAGTCACGTCCCCGCTTGCGGCACTGAACAATAGATTAACGATAGACAAGCCTTTGGTCTCGTACTTGTGCCTCCTCGGGTCCTTTTTATTCGTCGCGTGCTTCAAGTTATCGTACCTGTGATCATAGTAGGTGCTACACTAATCGGGACGGGATGGAAAAACGACGGGATAGATATGAACACAGACGATTTAGAAGAGCAAAGGCAGAGAGACAGAGTTCGTCGGTTGGATTTATTCGTGCGGGGTACGTGTGTAGCATAGGGTTGTGAGAAAAGCAAAGGAGGGAAAATAAAGAATCGATTAATGTGTCATCATCACTGGTATCGAGTTTCGAATTACTTTCATCGAAGCAGAAATTAACACTAGAATTACCGATGTTTGATATGCATTTATTTTAATATTGAAAATAATTTAGAAAATTAAATAGAAAACAATAGCCAACATTCATTTCAACAAAAGTAGCTCGATAAAATTTATAATTTAAAATAAGAAATTATTGACTGGTTTGGTAGTTCTAGTGTTAAAGAAGCTGGTCTCAACAATTTCCCCGCGATCCTAATTTCTTTTCTATGTGTAATGTATTGTTTCCTTTTTTGTTTCGTTGTTTCAAGAGGTACATGCCTCGTGCAGAAGCTCGGACATTGTTTAGTGACTGTTAGTGTGCTAATCGTTTTTGTATAAGTGTAACTCGTTGATTGCGTCTATGCTAGCCATGCTAAACGAAGTGGTTCACCATTAAATTAAATCGTACCTGTGGAAATTGAACTCCGTCACGAGTTCCTCGCAGAATTGCACTCCTCGACATGAATTACCGAGAGGATCCAACGGTGGCGACCAAGTGCAAATGCCCATCACGTTTGGAATGACTACCAGCAGGCTCCCTGATACGCCAGACTTCGCCGGAATGCCAACCTGCATTCAAAAACGCACATTTTCGTATCGAAGACAGAAGGGATTTCTTTTAATTAACCCCTTTACTTGTACGCTCGAGTTAATTCGAGCTCGCTAAACAGGCCAAACTGTGCACACTCGAGATAATTCGAGCGGCGTGGTATTTACATAAAAAAAAATTGATCTTTTTGGCCGGTTTGTTTTAAAAAAACTGTGCGTTAAGGGGTTAAGTCAACGGCTTTAGCCACTTAGGCCATACCGGTACCCGTAAGATCACCGAAGTCAAGCTAAGTGGGCACGGTTTCGCTAAAAGATGGGTTACCGTATGCTGTTGGCAACAAATAGCGAATAGTGAAAATGGGGAATATAAATGAAATAAGTGAGAAATGTTATATAAATGGGAAAAATTTAAGAGTTATGGCACACAAATATAAAAGAAATAATGTAAAAAGCTTAAAATAGACGAGATTTGAAAAAAAGGTGTACATGTGCGCGTGGATGCTAACTAACTTTCGTTGGGCAGAAAGTCACCCTCAAAATCGAGGAAAAAATTCAATCAATCGATCTTTTAACTGGGGTTAACTGTCGGTCACGAGAGGATGTGTTGACAGTTATTGCCCCACATCGCGCTGGCGCGAGATTGGCAGCAAAAATGTTAATTAATTCATCGGAAAATCACCTTAAACGCAAACTGGCCACTGTAATCGTACATTCCACAACTGTGCATCAGACTCAGCACATCTCTAACGCTGTCAGGCTTTAAAACCTTCTCTTCTGTGATGGGACATATGCCACCATTAGCCAAAGTAGCTGCCATCACCGCCATTGTGTCACAATTTGCCTCCATGGAACAGCACTGGACAGAAAATAGATTGTTAAAAATGATAAGAGGAAAAGAAGAAGAGGAAAAAAACTTACCTGGAAATAAAAATCCATTATTTCTCGGAGATTGGACTTATCAGGATAACAATCGTGCTCCCTCATATAGAAACCAAGAGCGTAATTCCTGTCCGCAGCTTCTCGTTCGGACAAGAAAACGGCGTTGTTGAAGCCGAGATTCTCTCCGCCTGCTAATCTCTTGAAATAATTCATCGTGAAGTCGAATTTCTCCGCGAGGGTCATCTCAGGCTTGATCAACGATTTCAAGAGGGAACAGACTAAGATTGCTCCCGCATTGATCATCGGATTATGAGGCTTTTCTACGAAAGGCAAATTTTCATGTTAATTAATATGCAAGATTATTAGGATTTTAGATCTTGAAATCGAGAACTCACTGTTGTAATCGAGCACCAGCTCGTTGAAATTTCTCCCGGATGGTTCCTGGCCGACGTACTGATGTACGACTTCCTGTCCCAGCCTGTCCAGAGCTATGGCGTAAGTTAATGGTTTGCTGCAACTCTGCAAGGTGAACGGGATCGAGGTGTCGCCGATGCTGAACCTCTGGCCATCGATCGTGCACACCGAAACGCCCCAGTAATCCGGATTCATTCTCGCCAGTTGTGGTATGTAAGAGGCGACCTTGCCCTCCGAGTTGGACTTGCATTTCCAATAGAAGTCCTCTATGTGCTTGGTGAAACCTGACCAGTCAGGGATGATGAACTGATGCCTGAACGCTCTTGAAATCAGCACTATATTCGGGCTTATGATTCTGAAACAGAAATTGACAATCTTTTTCCAAACTTTGCGAACTAATTTATTAATTAATCCAGTATTAACTCTGGTCTACTATTTAACCCTTTGGACGGCGGACCATGGAGAGAGCCTCAATCTTGAGCCTAATCTCCTTTCATTAAAAAGGCATCAATTACCTTCTAAATTGTTCTCTGCTCAATTTTTGGGTCTCGTGCGAAACCCCCTCGTGTCCCCCGCTCTTCAAGTGTTCCTTTCGCAGATTGTCCGTGAATTCTTGAAGTCTCGGGTCGTCGTTTCGTAAGCCGGTCGTCCTCAATGCCTGAAAGGTAAAAAAGAACGACTGTAAAAATCCTCGACCAACTATATTTAGCGAATGATTTTATATTAAACGTCGTCGAGGGGTACACTCACAGCTAAAAACTTGCCAACCGGTAGGAGACCGGTTTCTTCGTTTTTAAACATATCGAAGAGAACATCCTCCGCGTTCGTCGCTTGATCCTGATCCCTGGTGCTAGAATTATTAATAACAAATTAGCTTCTGGCAATCGAATTGTTCTCTTCTTAAAAGCCATGCAAACTTTTTTAAATTCATGCGTCGTGAATTCTATAAATTATGAAATTGGTACCAAAAATTTGGTATTTTGGAGAACTTCATTGATCTACATTCACTCACAGATTAAAATTTAAATTCACGTACTTGGGAAATCACTAAGTTTTCTATTGCATAAACTAAGCAGAAATAAAAGGAAAATATTTGATGCAATTAAATCTAAAAAAAAAGGATTATTACGTAAGATGAAAGCTGCAAAATTACGTTCTAAGGCTTCTCAGAGAGGGATACTAAATTTTACGCTGTTGTAAAATTCAATTCTATCTTCTTCAATTTAAATGACATTAAAACCACAAAATATACATATACGAAGATTACGAGCAATTATTGCAACCAATGTTTTTCATGGTACTCACTACATGTAATGGCTGTCATGAATGAAGCTGTAATCGCTGGAAAAACGAAAGGAGACTGATCATTTAACGAAAGAATTACCTAAGAAAACGTGCCAGCATCCTTCTAGTTTTGTACCCCTGCTTTTCCAGCCACATGGTACACGCGATCTTCGTTCTTATCGAATAATCCTCCGAAAATTTTGCTGGCATCATTTCCGGATTCTCATCCGAATACTCATTATTCATCTCGGAATGAGATACAACGATGCTTTGGCTCTTGTCTTTCATGACTAACTTATTTTATCGTTCACTTCGCTTTGTTCACTTCGAAAAATCTATGCAATGTTCAATCACGATTCGTTTGCAGTGTATGGAGAACGAACGATAAAAACGACCTTATATCAGCTGGGAAAACGACCCCACTCGAAGAGGAAATCCAGAAATAGCGAAGGCGCCAACAAGTAGCAAAATGCATTCTGCACAGCTGGTAAATTTCTTGGGTAAATTGATATTACCACAGTGGTGTGGTTGCATAATAAATTACAGACAAACAAGGGCGTATAATATACATATGAATAGAAAATTGATGGAAAAAGAAGAATTTTGCGAATCTTCAGTCATTTATTTGAAGACCCTCTAAGCTTTTTTAGATTCTTTTTAGAAAAAATTCGACAGTTGCATATAACAGGAATAGAAGAGACGTGGCACAATATGTCGCATATATGACAAGGCGTTTATTAGACTCAATTAGAACTATTGTGTATTCAAGAATGACGTTCAGTCAACGGAAGCTTTTACACTCAGCCTTTTCTTCGAACGTACAAAGCGCAAAGTGCAAAGCAAATAGGTAAAACGATTTTTCATAAACATGTAAAAATAGAAAATGGAAGACGAGGAAGTAGTTTCTTACCAAAAGCATCGACGAAAATCAACGAAATCGTCCACGAAACTGTAGTCGAAACTGTCCATCGTTGTTTTAATTGCAACTAATCGTCCATTGTTCGAAACGAATGATGACTATGGTTACTTTCGTTCGAACTGAAGATCCTCGAAACTCCTTCTATTCGATGGAACAAAGTTCTGGGTAACAAAGGGACGTATCTTCGGAACGTATTTAAATGGACAGCAATGACGATAAATTGCGACCGGGTCTACCGGGATCAACGGTTCTCAATTAACAAACCAACATCGTCGTCTTGGTTCTACCTAGATATTTTTCTTTATCTTTTCGAAGCAACCACCGAGACTATTGCATCGATTGACAAGGTTCAACTACTCTGACTCGTATCAGAATGTTTCCGTTTCTCCTTCGAATTGTGCAATCGAATTTGAAATGCACTTTATTACATTCTTGCATTTTCAGAGTTGTAAAACGACTCACGGACAAGAATTCACGGACAATTTGCGATAGGAACACTTGAAGAACGGAGGACACGAGGGTGTTTCGCACGAGACCCAAAAATTGAGGAGAGAACAATTTAGAAGGTAATTGATGTAATTAGAGCTAAGTAATTTTGCATCGTTGTATCTCACGATTTCGATCGTAACGTGGGTGATTAAAAAAAATGAATTAATTACCGTGTCTGCGCTCGTTCCAATTCTAAGGCACTTCCGAAAGCAGCGTCCAAGTATTTAACACTTCCGAGTTTCTTCGAAGCTGGTACAGCAGCTCGTCTCTGTAATTAATTGAAATTGAGAGGACTGATTTAATTTTCACTTGGTACACTTTCGTTCTAACTCGCCGTTTCCTTAATTTCCATTTCAAGGAAATTCTAATTATACCTTAGGAATTTGATTTATTTATTCATCAGCCAATTAACCCATTAACCTGGCATGAGTTAACTCTTTGCTAGAGTGAAGTGCATACAATGCTTGAAAATAATTCTTTTCCATTTGAACGGTGACCCGATCGATCGGTTAATCGTTACTAATTATTGAAAAAGTGGAGTTTATCAGCAATGTTTCTCACGAATTTCACAAGCATCCGAGATGGAACTTCGACCGGTCGTTTAAAAAACGGCCATTTAATCGCGAGTGTATCGAAGTGGAAAAACACGGTTCCGCTTTCGCGAAACCGGTTCAACGATTCAAGTTGAAGAATTTCGGGTTTGTTAAAGGGTGCGAAGGGTGGAAGAGGGTTGCTCGACGCTGTATTGATCTCTCGATGAATCAACCCCTTAATGCCCTAAGCCGAAACCTGCCACGTGTACCCTTGATTCAGATCACCAAGATACAACGAAGGAAAACAAAAACTTGGGTAACGCAAGTTTCTTGTGCGAACCACTGACCTAGATTTCCGGTAACCCTTTTGTTTCATCTCTGCTAAAATCTATTTCCTTTTTTAAATTTGGATACCCATTTGCCAAAATGAAATGAATATATAGAAATTGATAAAATATGAAACGTTAAGCAAGAGGAAATTTATCGCAATTATTTACAGAGGTCTGAAATGGAACACTGGAAAATTATCTGTATTTGATTTACTCGTCGAAGCAAATATTGATCCTATGGATGATATCGATCATTGGCAACAATTTATCGCGCAGAACGGCTCTAACAGTCGTCCAATTCGAGGGCACTCGCTGTCACATCGCGTTAGGGTATTTCTGTCGTTGAAATAGGCCATTGTCGTCGCCCACGTGGACGCGAGAGGTAAAGGAAATTTAACGCTTCGACGCAATCCTGGTCGATAATTTTCTTTTACTTCTTTTATTCAGCCATTTTCAATACCGAGTACCATTCTTCAAAGAACCTTGAAAGATTCTTCAGAAAATATCATTTGTTGTTCAGAATAGAATATCATGAATATATCGTCAAAATGACCTCGACATTGCCAAAATTAACTCAACAATTTGTGACATCAGATATTATTTATACTTTGGCTGAGCAATGTCTGTACACAGTCTGAATCTTTCCGGCAACATCCGTACATCAGTCTAAAAAATGAAGTCTAAAATTTTAGATGGAGATAAAAATTATTATTCAGAAATCTCTGAATCCTACTCTTTCATTCGTTCCAACAGCTGTCTCTAATCAATTAGCAATTCTTCCTTTTCAATCATCCAAGTCTTTAATCATCTGCAAGCAATCCCCTGATCGTCTACTCTCCTGTCGCCATAAGAATCTCATTGTTCTCCAGAAGAACCATTCGATCTGTCTCCATCTACTTCCAGTAGATGGTCCTCGAAACTAGAGAAACGGAGTGCTCTTTTCCAACAGCGCTATAGTTAACGATCGACGAAGGAGGGCGAAATTTCACGCAGTTTCCTCGAATCGATAATATCCGTCGCGATTAGTCGCACCTTACTGCTGGTGTGCAGCCTTCTCAGTCCGTTCGAGCCAGCCTTGACGATCTTCAGCATCCTCGCACCCCTGACGATCGCCTCGCGGTTCATTAGATCCTGAAAAGAATCCTCGCTAGATACGATTCGATCGGTTGACACTTTCACACACGCTTGATGCGAATGCGTTCACTGGCGGCGTCGCGACGTACGGTGCACCCTCGGCGTCCCGACGAGGAAGAGGTACTGCGGTGTAAGGGTCGCGTCTGGCAGCAGGGAATGCAGCCGGCACGATAGGGCACATGCGCGATTTCGTCGCGGCATTGGGAAATTCACGACGGGGACCAGCTGTCTCCTCGTCGATGCTGAAGTGGAGTAAACCTCCTCCCGAGGTGGGGTTGACAGCGGTTCCTCCGCTCAGGGAGATCGTTAGGGGCTGTGGGGGGTGAAATCGGATCACTCGTCGAGGACTAGAGGAAGGATTTTTATTTTGAGTGCTCATTTTTAGGCGATGATGGATTATGGAACTATTTAGGCTTTCTTCGATTAACCCTTTCATTAGGGTAGTAGATTTTTCCGTTTCGAATTATCATTCTTGATATTTTTAATTAGAAAGGATTTAGTAAGGAAAGCAGTGGGGGCTCGTAGCTAAAATTAGTAGGGGTGCTGCTCCAAGAAAGTTTTAGCCTTTGTTTTAAAAGACCGGCATTCCGAGAGCGACAGTGTTCTCTCTACTGCGCAGCCTCGCGCGCAGCTTCCTATGTGCGCATGCGCGCGCATACCACGCCGCTGGAACTGTGAAGCGCACAGTTCTATACAAAGATTTTCAACTGGGAGATGGCTACTGGCATTAAGCTTAAGGATTATATATTGTACAAGTATAAAGAAAGAATTAAAGAAACAAAGACTCATTATATTAAATGTTATCGATAATATCAAATGGAGATAGTGGGTGCTGCAGTTCCACAGTGCTTATACGCGAACCGCCACTGAAGGAAAGGGTTGAAAGGAACTGCTTCAAATAATCAATTGATCAATAGAGTTTTGAACATTCGACGTTTATTGTCTCGCACTTATTGCTTCCTGATAAAGATTGTACAGTATGAACAACAATAAAACGTTGAACAATTCACCGTCGCTTAACGATTAACTATCGTGTAACTAATAAAATAATATCGAATCCTGAGCGCAAAACAAATAAGTACAAACTTGTGACAATAAGTCTTACGCTAATTGTTGAATTGTAATTAAAAGGTAGCTGCCAGTTAATTAAACGCTAATGTACTTATAATTATAAATAACTGTATCACTAATTTTTCTTGAAAATTATGGACGATTACGATTATAAAACAATACCTATCGTGAATTGTGAAGAAACTCATTAAGTACTTAAATCACTAAATCGTGCGCTTAATTTAATTTAACCCTACGTTGTACGATAGTCGAAAGAAAAATTGAGGCAGTTTTACAATTACATAAGAATATTACAAGTATTATCGTTAACCTACATCGATGTTTTAATACTTTGGTTTCCATTTCGCACACCATACAATCATCAACGTAATCTATTTTGATTTTCCATATGAAAAAGATACTTGTTAATCGCTCTTTGATTGGGGGGAAACTCTTATTGCACATCTCGTGCATCTTTTCTTCAATAGGATACTCGCACGAATTCATTCGCATAATATGATTCACACTATTTTGATACATTTTTCTTGACTCATGGAAGACTATCAGTCGTTTAACATTTCGTTAAAACCTTTCGAAAATAATTGTTGTAAAAGTTTCCCATAAGGCTTCGTCGTTGTTTTAAGGCTCGTGGGTATAAATAAGGATGATTGTCTTGTTTTGTACAGTGAACATGATTTGAAACAATGACCGTGGGCAGGATATTTACAGATGAGTAAAAGTTTGAATGACGATGATAATGTGGCCATTGCAATTGTTCACTTGCAACGAGGAAAAAAATTAAAAAATAATCTTCTCCGTATGAAATTTCATATTTCTCGTATAAAATATCGTGAAATAACTCGGCCTAAATATGAAGTAATAAAGTTAATTGCGGATATCTAATTAGTATCGTATCAAATTTTTTTCTTGGGGGAAAAAAGAGAAAATCCGAGACGTTAAATCCTGAGATAAGAAGGCAAAGTTTGTAAAAGTAGCGAGATATTTTAAATACTATTAATCCTCTGCAGTCCACCGTTTATTTAATTACAAAGACTGAATTTTTACTTTGTATTTTTAATGTATAACACCATCGGGAAATTGGAGGAAACAAATTTAGACTGCAGAGGATTAAAACGCATCCCCTCGGGGCTTCAACCTTAGAGAGTACATAACGAGATTCAACAGGGAACAAAAAGATCCACTGTCGTCGAGTAAAGCTTGAAAATCAGCGAAGCAATTAGAAAGAAGAGCTTTCTATCTCACTTACTGATGGCTTAAAGGTACAAGTACACTGTAGGAATATAGTAACATATCAGTTGTTGTACCAACAACACTATTTGAGACTTCTGTTTACAATCCAGAAGGAAGATTTCTCAACATCTAAAGTTAAGAATTAGATATTCTAGAATCAGTGCGTTATTTAACCCTTACGTAACTAATTGCAGTGCTGATGAAGATCGATAAAATCTTCCTTCCGGAACAGGTCCTGACCGAGGACCATGAAACATTATCAAAATTCCACATCCAACAGTCCCTCAGATCACTGTATCCTGATAAGCCGGCGGTCCGCTCAGGACAAACTGTCTCTGACTCTGTCTAACGATGTCAGTTCTATTGGGCACCTGGGGAGTAGCCCTAACTCCGTGATAATTGCTGTAACTGGATCTAGCGCTGGCCGGTCGATTATTATAAATCTCATCGAGGTCTTCTCCATTCAAACTCTGAGTGCTGGTCTGTTGGAATGTAGGATTGCTCTGCCCTTGCCATTGCATTGGGCTCAGCTCGTTTGCTTGCCAATTATCAGTGAGATTCCTGGTTGAACTAGTAGCATCCCAGTTGGGGTAATTTTGATTGGTGTAATTACTCGTGTTGGAGTAATTATTCGAGGAATCCTGGTTCCATATCGTTGGAGAGGACACTGCCATGTTGACAGCCTCTGGCTGCCAGTTCGAGTTCCTGTCCCTGTCCCAGGTCATGGAGATCCTGTCGTAGTTCAACGTACCTTGCGACAGAGAATTCACGTTCTGATTGGTCAGATTGCTAGGCGTCGTATTGGCATATAAGCTCTCCTGCTGGTCCATTATACGATTTACTGGGTTCTTTCTTCGGGACTGTCTGACCGAGCTCCTGCGACTCGATCTTCTCGTTCCATCCCTCGATATCACTGATCTTCGCTTCACTCTTCGGGGTGTCATCGGTTTCGGCGACACGCTCTCGTCGTGGACGGCTGGTGGCTCGGGTTGCGAGTACTCGATGCTGTACAATGGCCTCGGCTGCTTTTTCTTCCGTTTAGCTTGCACTGCGGCGGAAAGAAATGTCTTGTCACTGATGAGGAACGCTCGATGACAAACCTCGTCAACTTGTGCCTGGGTCCTTTGCTAAACTAATCTTGCCCCTCTAGACGTTTTCATGGAGGAAATGGAAGCCAGGATACCTCTGTTCTGCACACCAGGCACAAGCTTCAGGGTTAGACACACATGGTTCAGGTACAGATTAATGCAAATCATTGACTCTTACATGCAGAATGAACATTTCAGATGATTTTATTACTGGTATATTTTTTTGGTCACCTTTAACCCTTGTGTCAATAATTGGGTAGTCATTTCTGATGTTTCTATTGGATCTACTGTAATTATATGATTGAATATTGACACAAAGGTTAGATTAATGATTCTCTGTTATTATTCTGGACACAAATCACCCGGAAAGCCATCGATTCGAAAATTCCACGAGATAAGTAACGAATAAATGAAATAAAAATAGTATCCCCGAAAAAGAGCGCAGAGCATGGAGAATGTTAGATGAGAAGGATAGAAAAGAAAAGAATTGGGGTTAATAAATAAAAAAGCAAGCAAGTAGTAGGCATTGCACGTTTATTGTCGCCAATGAACTGCACCAAGGTAAATCATACGATACAGTAAAAATAAATATATAAAACTAAGATCTACGCGCCCTTAACGAACTACACTACTGTACAAGCTCGAACGAGACTTAAAAAAAAAAAAAAAATTAAAGAAAAAGGGAGAGGATTGTACTACATACACATTCGGACGAATCTGAAGTGACTCGTTGATTGAACGCGTAATTGCTAAGTGTTTCCTCCGATTAAATCCTTTACTGTGAATACAATGAAACTGCGTTCGTTTCTCTTTTTTTTTTTCTTTTTTTATAAATAAATCACGTGAAACACACGCACAAACGCAACTACATTTACGTATGTACAATAATAAACGTGGTCGTTCAAGTGAGCAAACCTTCGCGATTCTATCAAGTCAAGTACCAGGTTGTTGCAAATGAAGTGACTCAGAAAATTATAATTTTGATAAATAACTAAATTTTATAGAAAATTATCAGTAATCCTTGTGGAATATTCTAACCGTAAATGAAATTTGGAAAGAAACTTTGGTCTATTCGGTACTGTAACCGGAAATCAACCATTTTGCGTTAGGAATACTAATCGATAGTTTATGCAGTCATTTTCTTGAAACTTTAAGCTTTAATTTGACGTATAATAAATATTATTTTATAATACTTTTATATCATGAATTTATATCTGAACTTTTATCTCTCGAAATCTATCGTTGTTTGCTTTGACTAGCAACCAATCATTTTGTATTAAAAATATTCATGAAACATTTATATAGTTATTTTCTCTAAACTTCAAGCTTTAAAATGGTGTATCGTAAGTGTAATTTCAGAATACTTTTATGTCATGAAATTTCGTCGGAATATGTTTCGTTTGATATGCAACAACCTAATGTAATAAGTAACGAACCGTGACATATCCTAAACAAATATTGCAACAAATATTTCACCAGGTTATCTAATAAGTAATAATGCGTTGATTAAGACTACTTAACGCAAAAAGAAAAGATAATAGAAAAATATCTTAAATAATGCACAGGTTCTGTGTCGTAAGTCGCGAACAAGGCTAACAATAGATGGTACAATCAAGTGTGATGAAAAAATGTCCAATAATATAAGGATCTATTCTATTGGTAATTCTTTTGTAATACCAATGACGTCATTTCACGTTGTAAAACATTAAACAATCAACAGTTTCGATTGATTACCGTAGGCTTTGAGAAATTCGAAGCCTGTTTCAGCTTGCGTTGCATATTGTAATTGTTGACTATTATTGGATCGTATGAAATATTCATCGATCAATCATCGTACGCATTGTTGGCTACTTAATTAACGCTCTGACTGCCACGACGTACTTTAACAAAAATTATAAGAACCTCATTTTCCAGTTTAATCCAATTTTGTTATTAAAAATTTTCTTCAATTTTCAGTATTCGATTATATTAGATTCGAAGCTTGGGATACTCGTGGAAGTCAACTTGTTAATTAACTCTTCTTCAAATTATGGCTGATTGATTTTAACATATTTTACTCATCACACTCGATTAACTTTTTTACTTCTAATTTCGTTAGCCATTTATCTATAATCACTAATGTATGCAGCCTATCAAGAAACAAACGACTACTCGTTTAATTAATTCAATTATCGTCACTTCAGATTTCTCATTTTCGTCACGTGGAATGTCGAAAGTTAACAAAAATCCTAGAGAAATCTTACGGTTTTCCAATTGCACGCGTATATTCGTTGCTCGAAGGGGGATGTAAAATAAACCTTAAACTTACACAGGAAAAAAAAAATAGAAACAAGTACTAGCATGCACTACCGAATGCTCAGACTCTTAAAATCCAAAGTTCTCGCAGCACCTTACGAATTTTTCTTTTTCTTACCATCGCTAATTAAAAAAAAAAAGATAATAGCGTAAAAAAAAAAAAAAATGATCAAGTGACATGTAAGCCAGACCAAAGAAATCGACACAAAATAATTGTAAAATTGTACGACACTCTACAACGTTTTTCTACGTTCACAAATAACAATTATTTTATTCATGCTATTTTTGTATATTAAAAACCTTCCATCAGTTTCATTAAACAAACATGATCCATATTTCTATACGTATCACAGTGCATCATGTATGTAATCTAACATTTAAAATGAACATTTCTATATAATAATAATATGCTCGATCATCTCTAACATCGAAAAGTGTATATCAATATGAACACGAAAGCAAAAGAAAATTAATTAATAGTGCTAATGAACACACAATTCGATCCACCGTCAGTCAACGCTTTCTAATTAAAACAAATAGGCAAACGAATAGGCATTATCGCGTGTGATGTTACAAGAATAAAGAAAAAGTGGGTCGAAATCATTTGTAGGCACCCTATGCTAGCTACTCTAATTGTTCTATCTATTTGGCAAGTATAGGAATTAAACGTTACACTTGTTAAGCACGCACGTGTAACCAATTCTCAGTCGTATGTATAATTCTTTTTTTTCTTTTCTCATGTTTTCACTAGAAAATAATGAAAGAAATGTCGTATACAAATGTCCTACGCAAAGGAAATAAGGGGAACACAGTATACGTTTAAAAATTACTGGCGTACAAGGATAGAGGTCTACTGTCACGTTTAGCCCTGTTCTGTATCTCTTGTTCGTTCGTGTTCTGTTGATTCTCGTTTGCCAATCTGGGATCAGAATAAAACGATCTCAACGGTTGTTCGCGGACATGATCGGTGAACACTCTGGGCTTGTTCGAGGCTTTGCTTTGCTTAGCACCAGGCCGTGATTTGATCCGCGGCGATGCGACCGGACTGTACCTAGACGATGACGACGACTGAGGATAATACATTTTGCTCTTTTGATATCTCAATTTAGCAGCACTGTCCAACGAATCGTACTCGTCGTACGGGGATACCGGTCTTTGCAAATGGTCCAGAGGATTCGAATAATCGTTCGGATAATCAACCTGCTTCAGATCGCGATTCGACTGGTTGCTTCGATTCGTTCTTATCGTGTCGTTTTTGAAACTGTTCTTACTTCGTACCGAGCTATTGAACAATTTGTCAGTATTCTTTGAGAAGCTGTTGTTATCGTGACAAACGGACTGATGAGAGCTAGCTGTGCCTGCGGGGTAATTTTGAGCGGAATTTTTTTGAGGGTGGGCAGGTGATGGAAGAGCCGAGTAGCTAACGTACATAGGATGCAACGGCGTGTGGCCTGCCAACCCAAAGTCATCACCTCCCACAAAGTCAACTGAAATATGACGTAGAATCCATTGAATTAGATCGAATTTAATATTGTCAAAAAAGGCTGCTGATTCTTGTTCTTATCTTGTCAATAATTAAAAACCAAGGGTACTTTCTTATTTTCATTGTAATAATACCAATGGTATTATATGCAGTTGTTTGCAAACGATACATGCTATACTAATATAAAAGAGAAACAGAATTTGTGTACGGTTCAAGATGCAAAATGCTGTTTCACAATACACTGAGACATTCTATACGCGTTGCTCGAGGTATTCGTTGAATAACAAGATACTAATGCGCCTTACTCGTGCTTAAGGATAAAATGCGTGCAAACCATGGATCAGGCAAAGCACTTACCAAAATGGGGGATCAAATCCACCAATGAAATCAACTGTAACCGACAACCCTCTTTTCAAGCAATAATAAATCTTAAGAGATTATATATTGAAAAGAAAATACTGAAATTCATAGAAGGAAATATATCTTGAAATTGTGGCAATAAAATACGGAAAAAGATTTATCATTGCACTAGTTTGAATCAAGTTTTTCGCGCGAGTTTAATTAATAATCTTTTCCCAAAAATCTGGTTTACCAATACCAATACATCACCCAAACTTACCACCAAATGATACCCCAAGATAGAAACTAAAAATAATCTCACTCCAAAAACTAAATCCTATACTAATCTGACACTGGCAATAATAAAAACAAATACTTTATGAACTGGATACTTACAACTATCATCTTCCTCCAGAAAAACTTTACTTAGACAAATACCACCCACAATTGCAATAAACTGGAACATATAAATCATTCCTTTTAATAATATAGTTTATTGTACTTCTAGTAGGAATTGCGCGACTTATACTTACACCTAAGATGCATTGTGTAGATGCATGTAAAATTTCAACTACTTCATAGTCCAGAACACAGTCTGTTACATTCGCAGGTCTTGCTGGTCTGAACAATTCTGGCTCGGTAACATCATAGATAGCTTTACAGCCTGGTCCATTGACATGCCACCATGAAAAGCTACCAGTACCAAGGTTTAAAATATCACTATTCTGAAAGATCATCAATGATTATTACAAATTGTTCAGGATTCAAGTTAGAAAGTTATATAAATAATACTTACTTTGTCCAATATACCCACATTGAGGTAAAAGCATATCATAAAAATGTTCCATCCCAACCACAGTGTGTTCCATACACAGTACTGTAACAAATGAAAGACAAAAGCATGAGTTTCAATTTATAAGCCCATCAAGATACAGCTGATAATCTCAATTACCGATATGATATATTTAGGTCTATATTGAAAGGCCCCAAAAAACCCTAGGATCACAAATATAATGTTGAAAAAGTTGACCAGTATCGGGGCCCACATAAAGCCCAGAAAATCGAAAACTTGGCGCTCTACAGTAGTGATCTGCAAAAGGAAAATGAAGTAGCTATTAATAAAACCTTAGAAATTCAAAGTAAATGAGTCAGTCTACTGCAATACTAATTTCTTCTAACTCCTTCATGTGCACATTCTTAATCTGGACCAATTGCCCTACATTCTAAATGCTCAATTAATTACCTACTGAGCTAGAATAAATGTCCATGAACAATCTTCACTTTTTATGAAGTTTTATTGCTTTTAAACAAAATTGCAAACAACAAATAATTACAAGACATTTTCATATTTAAATGCTCGATTTCAAACACCCCTCCATTGTACTTTGTACAATATCAAGTTGATCGATCTTATCGATGTGACATACCTATTATTACGTTATATTTTTACATTTGCGAAAGCATTATTGCACGGTAAATTGATGTAGAACGAATCGATGCCAGCTAATAAGCGCAAGAAAGCAATAGAAAGTAGGAAAAGCGACTTTAAATGGTTCGCCCGGTTTCTACGAGGATCTCTATACCCCATAGAGATAAACCATGCGACCTGGGTCGATAAAACGATACGATAATCCAGCAAGTGTGTACGGTGCATCATCCAGCCGTAACTTCGTCGATAAAAACGTTCGAAATTACTTTACAGTTTCTATAAAGCAATATTAAAACTTTAACAAATACAATACAGACGAATCTCGGAATGAAAATTATTTCGTCAGAAAAAAAAAGACATGACTCATTGTACAGGAAAAACGCTACGTGTATAGACGAGTCAGCTAGCGTATCGATACGATCGCAAAGATAGCGGAGTAATAGTTTCTTCATTGAGGAGACTCACAAGTTGTAAGATGCATATTGTCAGCAGAAAGTGCCTTCGATTACAAATTCCCATGTCATTTGGCCAGACGGATGTTTAACGAGCGAGGCCACTGTCTCTTTGGTCAGTCGAAGTAGAGAATTTCGCTACGCGTACGCTGCATCACTGTGGCACGTTCCAATGCGCCGCCATATTTCCTCGACACTTGTTCCGTCCCTTTCTCGTGGGTGACTGGTGCAAGTGACATGCACTCGGTTCTTTCGCGGTATGATTTTGTAGTCAGCCAACCGTCCGTTCGCTTTGTCACGGACTACGTGTACAGTTTATTCCCGATGAGTCGTCCTACACTTAAACGTAATATCACCGAGTCGTTCCCACACTCCACTCGGTCGGTTAGGTGTAAGTAACAGGTCCCATTGTTTCTAACCTTGCCAACTTGTTAATCGCGAAAACGCATCGAGTGGGAGAATGTTTTATTTGCGATATTCCCCTCGAACGTAACGAGTACATTGAGCGGGTTGTATAGTACGAGGGGAACCTCCTATTACAGCTTTGATTCACTATGCGAGGAATGCATTATGCATTTCGATGTTTATGAATGGTGACATATGCAAGGTGCATATATGCATTTCACATTTTTGCATAATACGATCAAAGAAATGTGAATTAGATATATTATAACGTACGTAGAGATTATTGGAATAAAAATAGTTGTTTAAAATTTCATAGGAAAACTCATCTGCAATGTTTCCTTGCTAAATAAATATCACTAATATAATTTTAAATTCATTTATTTTTTAAATAAATGACGATAGAAGCTTATCGACTTCCGGGAGATCAGTCGATATGTCGGTAAGTTATCGAGTAGTTTCCGCCGTTTTTGTATAGAGGGCACAATGGTCGAATTCGCTGTGGGAGCGATGGTAATGCAGGTTTCGAAGGTCGGTATGATTCTCACTGTCGATAAAGGCGTGCTCCTCTTACCTTCATCTCACTACGCGCATACAGCATACGCGGCAGTTTCACAGTTCTCGGTACAGTCGTCTTTATAGATCTGTAGTCATTACTTTTGATTACCTAGTTTACATTTTTATATAAATTAAAAATGGAACATTATAAGGTTTATCCCGTATTCACAGTACAAAATATCTAACATACGAATATCTAATTGGGAAAGAAAATAAACTTCGATTTAGTACCAAAATGGTATTTATTTATTTTATACAAGATAAATTTATATCCGGCTGGGATACATCATCTGTAATAAAATAAAAATATTGTTAAACCCTAACACATATAATATACAAGTCCATAAATTAGTTAACGTATTAAATAACTTACAATTCTGATACGGTGACCCATAGCTTTAGCTGGCAAATTTTTCTTAAACTTAGCACGTACTGAACCACTGGTTCCATGAGGTCTGGTTACTTTGCCCCAGATAGCCCTAACTTTTGTTTTTTTACCTTTTTTACCAGGAACAGGTGTCTTGTTTTTGGCCTGTAGAAAATTAACAAACACACTACGATTATAATATCGTTTAAATTTAATTTAGATCAAAGTATATTACTTAAATAATAAAACTTACCTTATACACGTAAACACATCGTTTTCCAACATAAAAATCTGAATCACATTTTGTCCTTGCTCCATCAACTTTGAGCAAAGCCGTATGTTCGTGTTGATTACGAAGTCCTCGTTTATAACCAGTGAAAATGGCTTTAGCATAAAGACGTCCGTGCCTTTTGAAAGGTCTGTTTTTTAGAAGAGGTTCGACTGGTTTCTCCTTCGGTTTTTTGCTTGTCTTCGTTTTGGCCTTTGATTCTGCAGTTGCGTCTGCCATTTCTAGTGACACAAATCAAATTTAAACCATGTAATCTGTTTAAACATGTAGAGAATACAACTAAATAAATTTTCAAATTAATGAAATGGTTTAGGTTATGTTATGTTGCCAAATATTGTCAAACAATGATAAAAAACAGAAAATAAAGGATCACTATATGAAAACGAGATATCTTCTACACAATCTTGCTTACTAATTTAAGAAAAAGGTGTAACGTAAATGTATTTAGACACTTTATAACAAAATACAGTAAATCTGTAGTTATGTCTATGGGTGCCGTGTAAAAAACAGCGTGTTCTAATCCATTGTAATCGTGGAAAATACATGAAATCTTAATATATGACCAATTAAGTGATATCTAAGAACAATTATAAACGATGTAGCACTATTATTAATTTATCCATTTAATTAACTTAATATATTTTAAACAATAAATACACAGATCTGAAACGAAATACATACCGGATGTATATCGCGGACTAAAAGAAACAGGAAACCGTAGCCCTCTAGGTACAACATCGAGCACCCTGAAGGTATATGTAATAGTCTATAGAAAGTCTATGGGTAGCACATTTTAGCTTGTGGTCCCTGACACCCCGTATGCCATAATGTCGGTATACAAAAAGTGTGCTTTGGGGTCCATACCACCCCAAGCCATCGGCCATTACGCCATCTGTATAGAAGCGGCGCTTCGTTAACTTACCGACTGCCGAAGGGTCGATTACCGACCTACATGAAGTTAGCCGGAAGGAATAATAAAATATGATTATTTTTAATTTCTCTTAGTGTATTTCGTTTGCAAATCATTTGTGATTGATTGTGAATCTATTTTTAACGTTTGTGACAAATTACTTCTTTTGTAATTACCAATTTTATTTCAGTCATGATGTGAGCCGAAACTTTTTAGTAATTTTTTATGATAAACAGATTTTGCGATAACTGCTAACTGTAACTGATTGGAAATCGTTTGTGATTCACAAATATATCATTTTCATTGTTTTCATTGTTTATATCCCTACATTCCTTACATATCTTTATCCCTTACATCCCGACATTCCTTACATCCCGACATTCCTTACATCCCGACATTCCTTACATCTCTTCATCCCTTACATCCCTGCATTTTTTTCATCCCTACATTCTTTTCATCCATACATTCTTTCCATCCCCACATTCCTTTCATCCCTATATTGCTTACATCGCTTCATCACTTATATCCCTACATTCCTTACATCTCTTTATTCCTTACATCCCGACTTTCCTTACATCTCTTCATTCCTTACATTTCTGCAATCTTTTCATCCCTACATTCCTTACATCTCTGCATCCCTTACATCTCTGCTTCCCTTACATCCCTGCATTCCTCACATCTCTACATCCCTTACATCTCTGCATTCCACACATTCCGGGCTGCTTTATATCCCAACATTCCTTACATCCCTGCATCCCTTACATGCCTTTACATCCTTGTATCACTTATATTTCTGCATTCCATACATCCCAGTACCTCCCTGAAGGCTTGCGATTTTATACAAATTTAGTTCCTTTTTTCGCAACCAGACAGCGCTGATTCGACATGGAAATTTTAGTTCACATTTTTGCCGCCAGGGGGCCAGAAACTGAGCAAGGTTTAGTTCACACTTTTGCCGCCAGACGACCAGAAACTGAGCAAGGTTTAGTTCCTTTTTCCGAAACCAGGTGGCACTGATTCGACATCGAAATTTTAGTTCACATTGTTGCCGCCAGAGGGCCAGAAACTGAGCAAGGTTTAGTTCCTTTTTCCGAAACCAGATGGCGCTGACGCGACATCGAAACTTTAGTTCACATTTTTGCCGCTAGGGGGCGCTATTTTTTCGAGAATTTCGCGAAAACTAACTTACCTTTACTTACCTTTACTCGAAGCAGTCTTTATAATATATTTATTATAAGGGATGCAGAGATGTAAGAAATGTATACATGAAAGGAATGTAGGGATGAAAAGAATGTAGGGATGTAAGGGATGAAGCGATGTAAGAAATGTAGGGATGAAAAGAGTGTAGGGATGATAATAATGTAGGGATTTAAGGGATGAAGAGATGCAAGAAATGTAGGGATGAAAAGAATATAGGGATGAAAAGAATGTAGGGATGAAAAGAGTGTAGGGATGAAAAGAATGCAGGGATGTAAGGGATGCAGAGATGTAAGGGAACGAGGGATGTAAAGGAATTTCGTAGGGGTCCGGGGCTGGGGCCCCGGTCTCTACTGAACGAGGCCCGAGGAGTGCCGGCTTCGGGTGTGGTCCCCGATGTCAGCGGAGTTTGGCACATGGCGGAGGGTCAGAGGACCCTCACTACCGCCCTAGCGTAGGCCACCGTGGTGGTTTTTAGTGGGTAAAAATCCCACACTACCTCCGGCCCCTCCCCAGGGGGGCTGAAGGTGTCTTTCTGAAGATTTCCACCACGTTAAAAAAAAAAAAAAAAAAGGGGGGGGTATTTAAGGGTTGCAGGAATGTAAGGAATGCAGGGATGTAAGGGATACTGAGATGGCTATGGCTTATAATGAGGGATAAAATTATATAAATAACTGAAGAAAGTCAAATAAATGTGGTCCTTGGCTGAGACCCAGAAGAGGGATATAATCATAAATGTTATTCCCCTTCGATGAGCTTATTCAATAAGCAAAAAAAAATAAGTGAAGTAAATTAAATAAACTCTGGAAAAAAATTATACTGGTTGTGCCCTCTTCATAGGGACGCCGCCGCTCCGCCAATGACGCCCTCTGCATACCGACATGATGTCAGCTTGGGGTGTTAGGAACCCCGAAGCACCGGTGACACTGTTTGCATACCGACATTTTGGCATCCAGGGTGTCAGGGACCCCGAAGCACCTATGACACCCTTTGCTTACCGACACTACGGCATTCGGGGTATCTGAGACCCCGAGGTATCGGTGTCGCTGCATACCGATATTATGCCACCGGGGTGTCAGGGACCCCGAAGCAAATAGCGAAATATAAGACTTAAAGACGAACAGATCGTGAAACTCACTTGTTCGAGGTAGTGATGGGTACGACCGGATCTGTAGCGCATGCGCACTACAATTATTTATTATAAAATAAACTTGTAAATAATTAAAAGATTATTCACTCCCAAACAATGAAAGTGATATATTTGTAAATCACAAACGATTTCCGATCAATTACAGTTATCACTTATCACAAAATCTGTTTATTATAAACAATTACTAAAAAGTTTCGGCTCACATCATAATTGAAATAAAATTGCTAATTCCAAAAGAACTAATTTGTCACAAACGTTAAAAATAGACTCACAATCAATCACAAACGACTTACAAACGAAATACACTAAGAAAAATTAAAAATAATTATGTTTCATAATCAATAACTTCGTGTAGGTCGATTACCGACTGTCGGGAGTTCAATCGGTAAGTCGGTAGTTTGTTGAGTGGTTTCCGCCGCTTTTGTATAGATGGCGCAATGGTCGAACTTTAAAAATACTGAATTCTAGGCGGTTTTCTCAAAATATAAGTTTGTCAAATAATTATTTTAATAATTTTTCGAACTTGTGCTGATTTTGTCTGACTTGTGAAAAATCAGAGGGAGTGAAAATTTCAGATGTCAGTCTGTAGTGCGGTAAGAGAGGAGTTGGTAATGTAGGTACGATTGTTATACTAGCTGTAGTCTCAACATGCAGACCTATTGCGCACGGGGTTATCTGGGACCCCAAAATCGTGACCTCTTGAGAACAAAAATATGTCCGGTCTTTCTTTATTTGTAGCCGCTGTTAGATAAAGCAATGGCTTGTATACTGATGTATTTCCGGTTTCAGAAACAGTAAGGGCACGTGTGCGTCGTGATGTTTTGAGTTCGATTTTTAGAAATTGACTTATATTTACGTTTTCTAAAGATTCAACAGCATAGATTTTTTGTAACTCCTGTTGATTAATAAGTAAAAGAAATGGAGAACGGCCAAGAAGAAACTAAAGTTGAAAAAGTACAAAATGACGTTGCTGCTAATGAATCAAAATGCGAGAAGCCGGTTTCTAATGCCGAGGAAAAAGCTGAACAAAAGGTGGAAGAACCATCCAAGGAGCTTCTACAAAAGATAAAGAGTCAAATCGAGGTATTGCGTCTTAATGTAGCAAGTAAATTATTTCTTACGAGTTACATGTGCATACACTTTCTGCCTAAACGCGGTTAAACGTTTTACGTCATAGCTTTAAAAAGCATTTAATATTGTAAGTATTAATAGTCACCTTTTGTGCAGTTCTATTTTGGAGATGTTAATATGCAAAGAGATAAGTTTCTTATCGAGCAAACAAAGTTGGATGATGGATGGATTCCAATGAATATCATGTTAAATTTTAAAATGTTGGCTTCCTTGAGCAAAGATATTGATGTTATATTGAAAGCTGTAGAATTAAGTGATATTATGGAAATATCTGAGGACAAAAAAAAGATACGTCGTTCACCGGAGCATCCTTTGCCAGTGTATAACGAAGAATATAGAAAGGCACAAGAAGCCAAAACAGTCTATATAAAGGGATTTCCTTTAAGCGATACCAATATTGAAAAACTCAAAACATTCTTTAATGACTTTGAACCATTTGAAAATATTGTTGTAAGTATCTTAATTGGATACAAAAAGAACATTTTGTATTTAGCCTAAAGAAAATTTGCAGAAAAATGTTTAGATTTTCAGACCATTTTCTTGTTTGATAGATGAGGAAGTATCTGGATAAAGATAAAAAATTGCAGTTCAAAGGATCCATTTTTGTACAGTTTAAAACTTTAGAGGATGCTAAAGCTTTTATGGCTAGAGATTCTATAAAATTTGGAGAAACTGAATTAATTAAGAAGTGGTCGTAAGTTAGACTATATGCAGCTTTACATAAATGTTTTTTTATTAGTAATTCTCTATTGCAGCTTTGTTTAAAATTACAGAGCAGACTATAGTGTGGAGAAAGCTAAAGAGAGAGAAGATAAAAAACAGAAGAAGGCAGAAGGAAAATCAAAGAAATCTGAAAATGTCAGTATAAATAATTATTTAACTTATTTATGTTAATCAAATAAAATACATAAACTTATAATTCCTTCCTTCAAAAGGCAAAAGACAAAGAAGATGAACAGAGTGGCGAGGAAGAAGAAGAAAATGGAAAGGAAGTTGCATTACCTAAAGGTTGCGTGATTCATTTTTCTGGTGTACCTAGAAGTTGTACTAGGGAAGATATTAAGGAACGTTTAGGTGAATTAGACGCTAGTATCGCGTTCGTAGATTTTAAGATAGGTGACGAAAAAGGTTGGGTTCGCTTGCAAGGAGAAAATGCGGCGAAAGCTGTTGTTGACAAAATGAAAGACAGCAAAGTAAGTGTTTCAGATGTTTTAAAAACAAATTTGTTTGGCATTATTCTACGCTTTCATTGTTTATCGTGTTAAAAGGTATTAATACGCGGGAAGCATGTTACATGCCGCATCCTCGAGGGCGAGGAAGAAGAAAAATATCTGATAAAAGCGCAAGGAGAAATGTCGAACCTAAGGCAGAAATATCCTAAAGGGAAGAAGAGCAAGAGAGGCAAGTGTTTAATTGAACTTTTCCTATTACTATTTCATACTTTTCTATGATGACTTGCCATGCTAATATCGAGAGAACGTTTGGGTCTCGATGAGTTGAACTTCAAATATACTGAATGTTTCATACATGAAAGTATTCGATTCAGTTAAAATATAAGGAGTTGAATTAAAGAATTCTTTTATAGGCCGTTACGCGCAACGGGGACAAAGGAAAAGACGCAATAGCGACAGTGCTGATTCTACTCCTGCTAAGAAAACGACTGTTGAATAATCTAAGAAGATCATTTAACTTTGTAAAACTTAAATATTCTATACTTACTTCGCTGTACATGTGTATTAATATATTTTTATCACATGTATACATATGTATAAAATAAGAAAGATAAACGTTACACTGCTGGGTATTCAAAGTAAACACCTACTTTAAATGCATAATTCTCTGTTGTGCTCAAGCAGTGTGTATTATTTAAAGTATAAAAAGTACAATAGCGTTTATATTCGTAAATTATACATTATTTCATAACATCATTGTCAGTCCCTATCCAAAATATTGCAAATGAAATATATAATTAAAAGAATAATACAAAGATGCATAGAAATCAACGAGGTTGCAGTATATTTAGAAATCAGCATTTTATTGGTTTACAGTAAAACTTATAAAGGTAGTTCAACTAATTTACTACTCAAATTTCACTGTTATGTGCTCCACAATCCCGTTCATACATTTAACGGACAATCACAATGTGTTGGCGATTTGAACCACTCACATCCAATATACTTCAATTCTTTTTTTTTTTTTAACGTACCTAAAGTACAATGTTACGTTTTCATTATTTCATGTGCCTTAGACAATGCGCACGATAGTTGTAAATGATCAATTTTAAAAATGAAGGAAAAAGATTAATTCTTTCGCAGTATTTCGTACATCCTGAGGAATGAAAAAAATTAATTAATTAAATATCCTTGCTGATTTTGTTCAATGGTATCATATACGTTGAGCTTCACGAATCCAGATTATTATCGCTCAATTCATTTTCGTTAGAATTACCTTGAAAAAATCCTACAAAGACGAATAATATTCGTGTAAGCGTGAGCATAATCTGGTTTTAGATTACTTGGTCGAAGAGGAAATCTAGGCATTATTTAGTTCGAAGGAAATTCTGTTCCACTTTATGATTACGTTTTTTTGAGCACACATTGCGACCAGAGTTTTCTCTACCTTCCACAATTGTTGCGCGAGTTTAGTTGAAGTTCGAACATTAATTAATTATTTAATTCTATGCGTCATTCGTATCGATTTTAATTTTAATTACGAACGAAACACTTGTGGAAAGTTTCGTGTGAACACGCGCTGGTCTAATCGATATCGGGTGCATAAATATATATAACTTTTTTTTGATAATTTTGTTAATGAATGACATCGAGATGACGAGATGATACAAAATTGACGAGGTTATGAATAATTTAGCAACCTAAGGGGTAGTTTGAATGAATTATACAAAATTTACTTAAAGAAGTTCCTAGTTAAAATAAATTTAATTGATAATAATGGTAAGCAACTATTAAACAATCAGACGTATTAATTAACACACCGATTTATATTTAAATTTTGCCTTTCGTTTCAAAGGATCACGCTGATCGTCACTACAAAGTAGATCGGAAGAATCATCGTCACCTTACGGATTCTCTCGAAAATCTATGAATCGCTTTACACAGACCTTAACTAATTGATTATCCGTGCGAATCTGTGCACAACTTTCAATAATTGGGATAGAAAAGACCTCGAAGTTTTCGCGTATTAAAGGAAGTAGGAATCATTCGTGTGCCTAGCGTCGATTATACCGGAAGTTAGTCTACGCCTGCGACCATCGCTACCATCTTGGATTTCATCTCTTTCGAATTATCATTTTTCAAAAGTTATACTTCGAAGAGAATATCGATCAGGGCACTTTTATAATGTCCTCTGCGAATTAATTAATGCAGTTTCTCATAGTCTCGACTTAAGCATTTCAGGAAAGAAAACACGCGACACCTGAAAAGACGCGTAGCCACAACATTTCAAGACCGAGTAGCACCTCCAATCTTTTTAAAACATTCCGACGAGGCAGTTACAGCTGTTTATTTAAATTTCAGCACCATAGTAATCAGTTTTCCAATAAACATCGAAATGTCTTCTTAATACATCCACAGTAATAATCTAACTGTCCTTTAAATTTCAACAGGCCCACCATTCTACCTCAGCCTCTTCGTGAAAAGTAGATCCAGTGTTCCATTATCTATCGACGTACCTCTGTAAACCACAAGCATAAATCCAGCCAAGGTATCCTCCATTGTACATCCTTACCAAAATCTCAAAATTTCGACTCTACCGTGGCTTCAAGGTCCACGAAAGTCACCTTCTTCGTCTTCGTGTTGCCCTCTAGGGGCAACCCCTAATGCTATACTGATATCTCCTGAATTTGCACCCGTTTCTTGATGGTGTTGGTACTGCCTGTAGTGCTAAGAGAGCTGGTAGTCCTTGTGGGTGGTTTCGGGGGTATTGGATCCTTGTGGATGGTGTTGCTGGTCGCGTGGCTACCTTTCTGTTCACATATCGATTGTTCATCCGCGTCGGCGGATTGATTCTGAGGAATCTGTTGATGTTCCTGGATAGAAGGACTCCTAGCCAGGGTAGTGTACGACGGAGGAGGTTCTTGGGTCGATCTGGGACTGTCAGGAGCCTTGATCGACGATCTGGTGGTCATTGGTAAGGATTCTTGGCCATTGGGGGTGCAATCCATCGCTGCTCTCTTCTTATCCCGGTCTCTTTGGTAGTAAATCCCCGCGAATATCAACATGTTCAGTACTAGGAGAATACAACCGACACCTACGGTGATGGCTAGGGCAGTGGTGGTGCTGTAATAATGTCGGGAGGTCAGTCTTTGCAAGAGTTCCGCGTCGTCCTCCGAGTCGTCCAGGATGGGAGTGATGTCCTCGGCAACGGAGTCCTCCCCTGTCGAAGTGCTGCACGCAGTCGTCGAGGAGGCGCTGCTTTTCGTCGTTCCTACCAGCGGCAGAGGGGTGTACCACTCGTCTCGAACAGGTCCTGAATGAAATTTTTCGATGAAAATTAATCTATCAAGAGGGTGAAAATAACTTTCTTACCTGCGTAGAAGTGATCACCCCTTTCTCGGAAATGATGATGCCGCATGGAAACGTCATCGTCCCCAGGCCGATGGAGTTGAGGTATCAGATTTAACCAAACGGCCATCTTGTGACCACGATAGTGGCTCTTCATTTTCGGTTTCATAGCTAAAATTCAAACGAAGAATACAGAGTAGATTATATCCAGCGCGCATTTTATCAAACACCTACCGATTGTCAGGTACTGTTGAGTACCGGTTTCGTATTGTTCCCAAGTGAGTCCACGATATCGAGTTTTCTCCTTCGGCGTTCCGTAATCCACCGATTCGATTTTGTGCGGTTCGTTCGGATTGCCTGTTTTCGCGAAGTTCGTGAAGAACGTGAGAACCGCCTCGGCGACTCCTTGATCCTGGCGGGAGTAGTTTCGAGGGAAGAAAAGTCCTCCGGCTACCAGCGGCAAACCGAAGATGTAAGGTATATCCTCTCCCCGTATGCTGCCGAGACGCTGAAACAGAATCGCCGTTCTATGTTCATAAAATTTTCGCTTCGGCTGGCGATTAAGATTTCTACTTCAGTCGCAACACCGGTTTCGCTTCGATAATTGTAATTGCAAATCGGAGCGCGAATCGTTCGGACCGGGCCGATTTTGTTTGTGTTCCGCATCAGGGACGCAATGCAAATCTCCTTAATTCGCAGCACAAGCAAGCGAATATAGAGAGCCCCGCCTCTCGGGCGTCCTCCTTGATCCTGGCATCCTCGACACTTCTCTCCCGTAGATTGCTCTACAGATTGGTGCATGCGCGTGCATACATTTCGCAACAGTCGAAGAAGCGTGCGGCTGGATTAGCCGGTGAATTTACAGGTGTGTCTTAACGCTTATCGGCTCGGATTGTTTAATGGATGAGTTGCTTAACTCTGCTAAACGCATCGCAGCTTGTAAAACGGGCTTAAAGGGATGTTTCTCGTTCGAGCGTTCGAAAAGGGAAGCACTTTGTAGAGAGCGTTAAACTTTAAATTTAATTTTCCAGTGTTACGGCTCGGCTTATCTTTATCGTGCGCCGAGATATCAAATATATTTCAAGTATTTTCAGTATTATATTATTTGTGGAATTGGAATGTTAGAGTATCGAAGACTGATATACTTGATATTTTACAAATATTGGAGAATTGATCAGGGGCTATTAAATTGCTGTAGTACAGTGTTCTTTAAAGTATCGACTATGGGGTTCCGAGGATGTTAAGATATTGAGTTATCGGGTTCCAAATAATGCACTCTATACAACTAAGATCCCTTCATGTTACCAGCAACCCTTCTCTCTTCTAATTTATCTGATACCCAATATATGATCCTCCAATTTCAGTCTCCTATTATTAATATACTGTACTTCTCCTTCTTTTTACTTCCACCCCTAATAATCTTCTTATTTTCTTTCTCGCTACCCTAACTCACCATCGACCATTCTTTCCCCCCTCGTAGGCTCTGAATTTACCGCACGACAGGTTGATAACAGTAATGCTTAAAGTTACAAAGAGTTAGCAGCGACACCGGAACTTATTAAACGAGCCGCCTTACGCGGCTGATTTAATTAAATTTCGCTTTGTGCGTACACAGTTGGCCATGCCCCCCAAGCAAACGCACTAAATCGCTATTAACCATAGCAACAGGGCTGGACTTTTTAACTTTTGAGTTGCCTTCTGATTTACCTGCTACGTGCTACGATAACTACACAGTTCTTTAACTCCGGTTACGCAAAGATACTTTGTTCCTTCTTACACCATTTGCTACCACGAACCCCAAATGGGGATTTGAATATACAGGGTGTTCGACAACAGGTGGGCAAAATTTTAAGGGGTGATTCTAGGGATCAAAATAAGACGAAAATCAAGAATAACGAAATAGCGTTTGCGGTTTTGTTTTCCAGTAATTAATGTTTAAAAATTCGAATAAAAAGCGCCTGAAACCTGCAACCTGCCCAGCACCGACGACTGAACGTCAGATCAGCAGGGGAAGGTACAGTCATATACTGAGTGTTCGACAACAGGTGGCAAAATTTTAAGGGGTGATTCTAGGGATCAAAATAAGACGAAAATCAAGAATAACGAAATAGCGTTTGCGGTTTTGTTTTCCAGTAATTAATGTTTAAAAATTCGAATAAAAAGCGCCTGAAACCTGCAACCTGCCCAGCACCGACGACTGAACGTCAGATCAGCAGGGGAAGGTACAGTCATATACTGAGTGTTCGACAACAGGTGGCAAAATTTTAAGGGGTGATTCTAGGGATCAAAATAAGACGAAAATCAAGAATAACGAAATAGTGTTTGCGCCTTCGTTTTCCAGTAATTAACGTTTAAAAATTCTAGTAAA